TTTAGGAGTACAAAGTTAAAGTATTTGCATAGATATTTTTCTTTAAGGATAAATTTTAGTGAAAAAGTTATAGGTGATGTTACAATGTTGCCAAGTCATAATTTTATGGTTTAAGTTTTCCAATGCAGTGACATTTGTGGCCAATGCTTTATACTTACATGCACAAGATTTGCTTTATTACAAGAGAATTCTTGTAAAGCAACCAACTTTGGTTAAAATTTCTTGTTGACCATGACATTACTTCAAGTATTAATTGTGGAACCCCTTTATTGTGATCACTATTGTAGGGTCCTCTTGCAGAAACTCTTCCAGATCCCTATGGAAGAGAGATTAAAGGATTAGCCACTGCCACCAACATTCCTCTTGGTAAGAAATTAACTCGCAGCATGTGAAGTGGTTAACAATGGAACCATGTATGCTGACCACTATTCTGTTGATACAAGTAACTCATCATTGTCACCTTTTCTTTGTGTTCCATCTCTCCATTGATACAGTGTAGGATTTTACAAGTGGGTACTATGCTGTGAGAGGAACATGTTTAATGTTTAGTTGTAATCATTATAAAGCATTTAAATGTAGTTCTTACTGTCAGTTATATTTAACATAGCACCAAACTTCGCAACCAAATCATCCATTTTTTTAAGTTTCATGTCACACTTTTGTATGTCATCTATAAGTGTACAGTATTATTTTTTTAAAATACTTACTTGGAGCTTTTTGGTTGGTTTTTAGGTGAGATTGTTTTGTACAATATCTTCTATGAAGTTTTTACAGTTTGTACATCTATAGTTGCTGAGGACAAGTCAGGTTAGGAAATCTTGACACGGCATGGGAATTAATTTGAAAATTTTTTTTTTTGTTGGGAGAAGGTAAACCCAGACTCTGTTATGGGTAAAAACTTTGGATTAAGGTCTTGTTGTGATTGTGGAAGAACAAGAGGTCGCTGAAATTTCTGATAAGTATTAGGTTGCAAGGGAATGAGGGGTGAGAAGGGAACAATTAAGGGGAGACTGGAAAAAATGCAAGGGTGGGAGGGTTTAGAAGGGAAGAAGGAGGGACTGGAACAAATGCAAGGGAGGAGGGGTGAGAAGGGAACAAGGGGAGACTGGAATGAATGAAAGTGAGGGAGGGGTGAGAAGAGAACAAAGGGAGACTGGAATGAATGAAAGTGAGGAAGAGGGAGGAGAAATAGATTAAGGGAAGGGAGGGGAGAGGTGGGAGGATGGATCTAGGGAAGGGGAGAAGAGAATGAGTTTGGAGGGAAGTCTCTTAAACCAAATGTTGTAGAGGAGTATGCAGCCTCTGGTAGTCTGAAACTTTTGCAGAGCTGGAAACAATCACTAAATAACTTTTCATTTATATGAAAATCCAAGATGTGTTAGGAAAGGGATGTGTCCTGGTAGCCTTAATTAGACACAAAGAGTGATGTGCTGATACTGCACAAAACTCAAATATTTGTCAATACCTTTGTTACAACTTTTCAGGAAATCTTTTCCATGCACGTAATCTGGATTTTGGCCTATTTCTGGGGTAAGCATTCTTGTAAATGACAGCTAGAACTTTATGGGAATCAGTCATTGCCTAGAGTCTTTTTAATTCGTTTTTTTTTTAATGTCGATATGTTTATGATGTAAGCTATGTATTGTTTAATTGCAGTTGGGATGTGAAGAATGACACCTGGATGCTGACTGAGATTCTTAGGACCCTTATTGTGAATATTGATTATCAGGTAATATAATCACAGATTGTAGTTATTGTAGTCAGGAGTGATCTGTAAACATCTCTGCTTCCACGAGTGCAATGTGAACTGCTAGACAGCATTGGAAATTATAACTAGTAATATATATTATTATTTTGTATATGGTCAGGCTTAAATTTATTCATCTTTTGAACTCCTATGAATTACTTTCTCTTAATCTGGTGTTATGGGGTAATGGATGTGTTTGCAAAAGGATTATTAACTGGAGTGATTATATGGGACTACTATCCTCCACGGCTAGATGTTGTAACTCCCTTAACTGACCAAGACAATTTCTTCTTACAAAATCAATAATAACTAATAATAATAAAAATAATAATAATAATTTATTGACTTCTAAGGTGCAAATTCTAGGTATATAATTATATTTAAAAAAAATCAATATGATATTATGCAAATTATTAATTATCCAATACCAAGTTCTCCAAACAAACATCATAAAAATTGTATGGCAGACATAAATATGTCTTATAAATTATCTTATTTGTCAAACTGAGGCTGTGTTTGTGCATTTTTGGATAGGATTGTTCTCTTTTTATGATTAAAATTTGACTCCTTATTTAATTTGCTTGCAAATTATTTCAGAGAAATGGAAAAACTGTGTACAAGACAGTCAGCTTTGCTGGATATGTTGGTGTCCTTTCAGGAGTAAAACCAGTAAGCTGTCGATCTTTCATAACTAGTTGTTGTACTAAACTACATTGTCAGAAGAGGAGCTTAACCATGTTTGTTTCTTATAGCAAATGACAATAATATATTTACCAATGTATTCAGGGGAAGATTAATGCGGAGGAACGGTTGAACGAATGAAGGGACAACTTTAACAAATCTGCTTTTTGCAGCTAGACTTTTAACATGGCTCCCTCCTCTCCTGAGTGGGTTTCTTGACCCCCAGACACCCCTCCCAAGTGAATAATCAAGACTGCTCCCATCCTATACAAAATTCTGAGAACTGGTAGACCTCCAAAACTAGATCTCCAGCAGAAAAATGCTCTCCTAACTCTCCAAACTAACAGCAAAGTATGCTGTTAACTCCTGTAGAACCTTTTTGGCAGTTTCAAGACCATTGGATGGCCCTCTAATTCCTGGTTATAATTGTTTTCAGACCAAAAAGATCCAAGAAAGAAAAACCCAAATAAGAAGTTTTCCAAATGCTCACTCTTAAGCAATTGTGTTCTGTTTACTCACCAATCAATTGCTGCAGCTTGCCTGTGGTTTTAGTGAAGGTCGAAAATCGGTTTGGTTCTATTGTGTTTCCACCTGGATACCAAAGACTATGTCTCCAACTATATTTTTGTCAGTCAATAGATTTTTAATCTTTTTGCCATTGCCAATGTAAACTGAGGGTACAAAAACAAAATGATTTTATACCAAGGCCTGTTTATTTTTTTTAGGGAATCTTGACACTTACTTTGAATGAAAGATTCAACATTGATGGAGGTTACATTGGTGAGACAATAAATGGATTAATAGAATTGTTTAATTTAGTTGTCATTTTAATGACTGTGAGGCCTTATCTAAGTCAGATGATGACTGAATATATATATCTATTATATAAAGGTCAATTTAAGAAATAAAAAATAAGTTTGAAAAATTCATGAGGTATACTCAAAGGTTATCTGCAACAGCTCATGAAACACTTTGTGATATTCAGGGATTGTGGAGTGGATACTTGGCATGAGGAACAGCAAGTGGTCAAGTTTTTTGACTCGTGACGTGCTTGAAAGTGCAACTAGGTAACAATGTCTTGTAAAACGTATGTCTGCTAACAATAAGGCTTCGTGCTCTGATTTATATGGTACTGAATTTTGTTACTTGATGTCAAACAGATTATTCATTTTGTGATATACTCTAGTTTCGAGGAAGCAAAGGACATGTTGGCAAATGACAAAGTATTAGCTCCAGTTTATTACATTCTTGGGGGAACAAAATCAGGAGAGGTAACATTATATCTTTGGCTGTCATAAATCTTAGTACATATCAAGAGTTTCAACAAAAGCCAATTAGTAGTGGTCTATTGCTGCCTGTTATATCTCTCTCCACTGCCTGTTTAGCTTGGGAGCAGGCTCTTGTGCTTGAGTTCTGCCTTATAGCCCCTTTCCTAGCTACAGCCACTTACTGAAAAAGTCATTAAAACCAGTTGGTATATATCTAAATAAATGAAACTGAGTCAGAGCTTTGTTACAATGTAGCATCAGGCTTCTGAACCAAGTGAGTCTCTTTCCCTGTTAGTAGTTACAATTAAGTTGCCATACAGTGGTTCTGATTGCAGTGATTCATGATTAAGGTGACTTATAATTATTATTACTCAACAATTTCCACATGAAAAAAGGAGAGAAAGGTTTGTGAATGAACAATTAACTACTTTGGTTAGACTGAGTTGGCAATTTGCAAAACTGGGTAATAGATCTTTACTACCTAGTCATTACTGACTTGAAGTGTTAAGGGCTGACTTGGTGAAGGATAAATTTTGTCTGAATAAGATGGAACAACTGTACAAAAGAGTTTTGTTGTTCTATACTACCAGTGCTATTTTTTGAATGAAATCTAGTAAGTTATATCAAGTGTAAGGACCAAATGAATAGAATTTGGTCATTCTGTGGGCTATCCTGTTGTTATATGTATGTGGTGTACTGATTAGTAAATCTGTGCACTCTTTTTTGTTTTTAGGGAGTTGTCATCACACGCTCGCGAACTGAATGCTTAAATCAAATGAGGTAGATTACATGCATGCAATGCAATTCAGTGGTTACAATAATTTTGCAAGTTGAAGTGATATTTTAATATTTTCAATGCAAAACCTTTAAATATGTTTGTCTTTTCAGTCTTAATCCTACAAACAACACTTGGTTTGTTCTGGAGACAAATTATGACAACTGGAAACCACCTCTATTGATTGATGACAGGAGAACTCCGGTAGGTCAATCTTGATTGCAGTGAAAGGAAAAAAGGTCACTGATCCCAATGAAGTATTCAGTTATCTATGAATCGAGGAAATTACTTCAGTCTTTATATATAACTCTTGCAGGCTACATTCAAGTGTGCAGTTTTCAGAAATGCTTTGTAAAGTCACTGATCTTTGGTAGTGATTATTATACCTACTGCTTAATAACATATTCTTTGCTAACTTGAAAATGTGTTCTTTTTTTTTTTTTTTTTTTTTTTCCCCAGGGAAAAATATGCATGAACAAAATGGGACAAGAGGTTTGTTTTGAAATAAACTTTGTGAGCACCTCTTTATGTTATAAAGATGAAATCAGCAACAAGGTCAAATATTTCCACTTTATTCTACAGGCTGTGTCATTTAAAGGCTTGTACAATGTTCTCTCCACCCAACCGGTCTTGAACAAGGTAAGCACATGTTAAAAAAAAAAAAAAAGAAGATATCTCTAGGTAGTGTTGTTGGAGGAGATGCCCAGGATTTGTTGGCTTCTGGGGCAAATTTCTGGCTCAAGGATTCATTGAGGCCGATGATGTGCTGAGTTTCACACTGAACAACGCTGAACAATTCAAACTCTGTGACTCACAAAACCATATTATCATATTTTATCATGCCACTTTTGTTTAGAGTATGCTTGTGATTTGGCTGTTTTCATTATTGATTTTGTGTTCTCTGAACACTATCAAAAGCGAGGGAGTTCTGTTTTCCTCATTGCAATATAAACAGTGATGTGGTATTTTAATTTCCCCCACAGTTGACAACATACACAACACTGATGCAAGCTAGCACTGGCAAAGTGGAGACATACATCAGATTTTGTGCTGACCCTTGCTTTCCTTGGTAAATCTCATCTCAGGAATACCTAACTATGAAACATTTCCAAACAATAAATAATGATTAACCCGAAATTATTAAAGATTAAAAATTTAAATATGTAGCAAATTACTTCAAACTTTCTTTCCTTTTTGTTAGAAAGAAATATAATTGTAAATTCAACATGTGCTCAAATTTGAAATTGGTTTATACTTATTCAAATGACTTCTCTACCACTGATATAAATGACCAAAATTTTGTAAGTTTTCCTCATTGTGATATTTGTACCATGTCAGGTCACACCATGCTAGCTAAACTGTACTTTCATCATGAATGTGCAGAGAAATTTAACTCTAGTAAATTTTGTAAGGTTTTTATCCAAGATAAGTGTCTTTTTGTAAATTCATTATATCAAAATGTATGAATTGAATATAGTCTTAGAATAAATACAATTTACTGCTGTTTTGCAACACATTGCATGATTTTTTAAAATATTGCTTGGGTCTAGCTGCACCAGTAAATGCAACATGCAATGCAACATCACCTTGTTGCATTGCATGTAAGTATTTGAGGTGAATTTCGAGTTTGAATAAATTGAAAAAAAAAAATTGAAATAATTTTCCCTTTCCTCATCACCCCAGTTTCCTAATATGATTGATTTCTTCTCGTTTTTGTGTGTGGCTTGTTTCCTATCAATACCATTCCCTCATTTAGAAAAATGTTTCAGTGACAGACCACCCATTAAAGCAGCAATGGCTGTTACTGTGGTTAGAAAAACTGGTACAGTAGGAAGCCAGCTTTGAAATGTTGTCAACTGACAAGGTACAGGAGGGACTTCTTGTGAAGGGGGCTCAAGTTGATGGATCTCCTCTGCACCTATCTTCCCCATGGCAAATAGCACTTCTCTTGCAGCCCTTTCTCCTGCTTGGACTGCACCATCCATGTACCCTGAAAAAGGGAAATACGTTTGATAAGTGAGAGTTAAATCATTTGTCTTGTCAAGATCAAGATGGTTGGACTACTATACTGCAACTCCTTGTCAGTTGAAGACTTTAACCTCTACACTAGACTTAACCAAGGAGAGCAGTTGAACTATGGAAATTTTGAAATCTAAATTGATAGCAAGTGACTCGTAACTGTGGACTGGTAATTGTGAAGAACAGCTCCCCTCACCGACAGTCGGCCGACCGTTGGTTATCTGTCGGCCGACTGTTGGTAATCTGTCAGCTGACTGTTGGCCGACCATCGGCGATCTGTCAGCCGACTGTTGGCCAACTGTTGACCAACACCTTACCAACAGTTGACCGACAGATTTATTTAGTTTTTTCTGAAAAGATAACTTCCTGCGGGACATTTGTTGGCCAACAGTTGACCGACTGTTGGTTGACTGTCGGTGATCTGTCGGTAAGGTGTTGGCAATCTCTTGGTAGAATGTCGGTAACTTCATGCAGATTATTGCCTTGAAAAGTGTATGATTTACAACCCTTGATAATTGCATGGAAAAGATAAAATGAAACTCTCAAATAGTTGCTGGCTTTTTTAGGTTAGTTCAGCACAATTTCTAGGCAATTTCTCTTCCAACACTCACTTCAATTCTCGGTTCGTTCGCCATTTTGGATTTTTAACTTTGTCCCAATCCCCCTCTGAATTTCGCACGGTCTCTATATATGTACGACATACCAATATACCAAAAATTAGGATCGCATTGCATTATAGGGCGATTCTTAACTGCACTTTTCGATGGAGAATATTAACACACTTTCGTTTAATGCACAGGGAATGTTTGTGTGCCTATAAGTTTTAGTAGCATTTTGAAAAATTTTAAGCATTTATAGTAAGTTTTACATCAATTTTTGAGTGCAAAAATGCACCAGTAAAGTTATTTCACCGCCTGTCTCTAATCTGTTGGTTACCTGTTGGTGACCTGTTGGTTTAGTGTCGGCCAACTGTCGGCAGACTGTTGGCCGACTGTCGGTGGAGGGGAGCTGTTCTCCACAATTACCTTGTGGACCAATAGTGGAAAATAAACTGTGTTTCTCACTATAATCACAATGAACAAACACATGCTTCATAACATTGTGCAAAAATACCTTGAGAAAAATTATTCATATTGAAATCTGAAGGTCTGAGGTTTGATTCTTCATGGGAACTCGGACAATTTTTTATTTTTTATTTGTACAAAGCTTGTGACAAGATCAAAAAAGAAACATCTTTCTCCAAAAAATACCTTTACCAAAGAACTCTGAGAAACAATAATTTAAAACTTCTATCATTCACTGCAGCATCACTAAACTGTATATTAAGCAGTCTCAAGATTGTCTATAAAAGGAATGGAATGCCTCCCTGCTTTTCTTACCTGACCAAATTGTAGCAGTTTCAGTTCCAGCAAAGTGTACTCTTCCAATTGGCTCACGCAGAGCTTTACCAAACCTTGTTATGACCCCACAGGGCATAATGCTGACATAGCAACCACCAGAATACTTCTCAGCTGGCCAGTTCTTGTCAACATAATGATAAGGATGAAGAGCTTCGTCACTGTCAAACACCTTAGCATACTGTTCACATTGGGCTTTTTTCCTTTCTTCCTGTGTTTTGGAACACCAATAACGTGCTTGACTTCCAATGATAAAACTGGAAAAATTGAAGATACATTTATATATCAATGTTATATACGTTGAGAATCTACTAAGCTGAGTATTCAGTGTTCTTATTATACAACAGATAAAACATGTTTTAAAAACCAGTAGAGCAATGGTTTTACTTGTTGAATTTTCAAGAATTCCCAGTGATCTTAGGTGGTTATAAGAGGTACCACAGGTGCTAAATTTTACCAGTTACCACCTCAGAAGGAGAAAATTAGTATTGAGATTGGATCTTCTAACGAGTGATTAAGAATCAATTCTATTCTTCACCAACCTCACCTCATTATTGCTGGGTATGAACCATCTGGCTTAGTATCATCAACAGTAACATATGCTGGGCTTGAGTCTGAAATCAGTACCCCATTTAATCCTTTTTCACGCCAGAATGCCTTCTTATAAAATGTGACTGTCTTAATAACAGAGCCCATAGGGATTCTCTGAATCAACTGATTTTTCAAGGGAGGGAGGGGTGGGTCAAATGACACACTGTTCAGAAGAGCTTGGGGCATGGCACTAATCACAAATTTGGCTTGGTATTTCTTGCCATTTTCACAGGTAACAACAACATGATCAGCATCTTGATGCAAGCGACACACTGGGCTGTTAAGTATGACCTAAAAGTATGAGGAATATGGTTTAGTACAGGATGTCACATAACTTGCAGTGCATTTGGGAATTAATAAGATAGAATAATTCTTTTGAAGATGACAAATTGTGTGAGCCCATAGGTTGAGTGCAATTTGAGTGCTTATTCTTTCTAGAATGCATAAGAAGAATCATGTGATTACTTGCTGATTAAAGAAAGGGGGAAAAATGTGAGCTAACTTCTTTCACAACATCTTCATTGTTAGCAGTTCCTCTCCAAACCACACCCCAACAAAAGAAAGGAAACGAAATTACCCTATCTCCAAGCCTGTCTTTAAGTCTGTTACTTATTTGCTGAGATCCTCCGATAAATTTTCTTTCCTGACCGGCATCTTCAATGGCAGCCACCCTGAGCACTCCATCTCCTGACTTGAGATACCACAGATAATACAACAGGGACATATCTTCTGGTTCTGCGGCCATTGCATCGTTGTAGATTTGTATCATACGCTTTTTAGTGTAATTTGTCCAACATTTCTTGTCAAAGAATTCCTTTACAGTCATGCTATCCCATTCTAAAGCTTTGCGTGCCTTCCACGGCTCATCAAGTGGAATTTCCTCACCCATTTTATCCAATGTCCGAATCATGTTGTAGTAGTCTAACATCGCCAAGGGATTCCACGAGGACAGATCCCCTGCAAATAATCGCCTTCGTCCATCCAGAAGCTCCACAACACTGCCTTGACTGTAAACTTTATATGTCTCTATTCCTAATTCTTTCGCCACGCGTAAAATTCTATTCTGGGTTGGTCCGACGTACGCTCCACCCAGGTCGACGTACTTAAATTTTGGGTCTTCCAAAGTGTTGGTTCTTCCTCCAACACGATTTCTTGCTTCTAAAATAACAACACTAACGCCATGTTCAAGAGCTAGCAATTTAGCGGCACAAAGACCGCTTATTCCGCCACCAATAACGATAACATCAATCAGTTCCTCCATGTTGGACAACAACTGTTCACCTTTAGGCTTTAGATACGTGTAGTGTCACGTGACTTTTGATGTAAACAAACCCCGAAAGTGTCCAAACTTCGGCTTTGGAACTTATTCTTAAATAACTGTCCACTTTCAAAAAACGTTTCTTCGCTCAAAACTGTCATCTTTCTTTTATCACTTATCTGATCGTTTGTCAAGCAAATTGTCATTTCGCTGCCGTTGAAGCAGATGCGAAGAGTGTTACAGGAAGCCTTGCGGCATTGAATAATCGAACTAGTTCTGCGTACAGTGATGTATCTGATCAGGTATTTTATGATGATCTGATTGGTGGGCACTAATTTTCAGACAGAAGTGATTTTATTTAACAATCTACGCACAAAACACCCCGAAAATACCTGATCAGATACATCACTGTACGCAGAACTAGTTCGATTATTCCATGCCACAATTCTTCCTGTAACATTCTTCGCATCTGTTTCAACGGCAGCGAAATGACAACTTACTTGATAAAAGATCAGAAATGATAAAAGAAAGAGGCCAATTTTGAGCGAAGAACACTTCTTTGAAGTGGGAAGGTATTTAAGAAAAATTTCCAAAGCCGACGTTTGGACACATGTGCTGCATAGGTCGGATGCGCGCGAGTCTCTTTTCACTGGACCCCGGCGGGGGACGAACGTGATGTGAGGGTGTGGTAGAGTAATAATGTCGACAAACAATCATTTATCTCGGTAGGGGAGGGACTGTTGATATTACTAACCCAATTGATATCATCATGTACTTCAAATAAATCATGGATATTTGAAAACAAACACAAGCCCACATGGAATGTACATATTTTCACAGTTCTCGTTTAAATGCAGATTTTGCCTCCATTCCAAACTATTGAAAAAAAGATCGAAAGTCATACGACAAAGTCGATCTCACCCCTCTCCCCATTACAGCAACGCTCAGAGCAATCGATAGTACAAAGGCACACAAAACTCTGATTCTTTTCTGTGCAAGTTGGACGTGTTCTTTCCTGACGCGAAAATGGCTAACGTTGTAAGTATAACTGCGCGAATTTAGTTAATGATAGAAAGAGAATTATCACCTTCAACTTGAATCGAAACGACACATTTACTTCAACCTAGACGACATTCGCAACGTGAACTTTCTCATCAAGGAGCGGAAGAAGGTTGTTAATCATGATTGCTCCTGATCTCAATATTTTCTAAATTATTTCTTTGTTAGAGTTAGTGTGATTTAAGTTCGATCATGGAAATCTACGGCGACCTAAAGTTACCGTAAAGAATCAATAGTTCTCCAACAAAAAAGAGCCGTGTAGTAGAAATACTTATCAGGTTCAATTTCAGACAAAATAAGAGAGAATCAGTTTGGACAGATCATTTTGATCAAGATATCAATAAATTTGTCTAGACTTGCCTTAATATTAACCTCGACATTCTTAAAAATTAGTCCGAACTAATTAAATTCCAGAAAACTTTAATTCAAGCTGATTGAGAGAAAGGGTAGTCTTTTTTTGTATTCATACTTGCCATGCGGGTTCGTAAAAATTCTGTACAACTCATAAAATTACTCAGCGATACTACACACAAAAAGGCCTAATAAGATAGAATCATATGATGGACCGCTATGAAATCAACAAGCGGTTGTTCAAAATCTACATCTTTCCCAGAGACTTGCCCCTGTAAGGTAAACATAATTTATAGCTTTTGAAAATATGAATAAGTTTCAGATAGGGTGCCCTAAGGAAGTACTTAAGGGTACTTCCTTGCCTAGATGTAGAGATAGTCCTGAATCTAACTTGCCCTTCAAGATAATTTGAATTTACTCTTTATTTCTCCAAGCTTTTCCCTATAGATCTCTTTAGCTTGTATGTTTTGTTTACCTATTTCAGGTTTCAAGGGAATTCCTAGCTTTATCTTTTATAAATTATGCATACATATGCACCTGAACAAGAGCGGATTTGAAAGAAAACAGTTCTCTAGACTATTATCATGTGACCTGAAATGGGTAAAAGGTAAAAAACGCATGAAAAGCTAGAGGTCTATTTGTAAGAGAGAATGAGATAATTTTTGCCTCTTCGGAAAATCTGATTGCCTGGCAACCACTGAGTGCACATTGGCATATCAAAGGAGTAAACTTAATTTCCTTCTATCTCTGCTTTAGCGTCATGAATTTCAAGTAGAAATGACTTGTGAGGGTTGTTCAGGGGCTGTCACTCGTGTTCTGAACAAGAAAGGTATGGACCTTAGTGAAATTTTCCCAGTTCTCATAAATCTCTACAAATAGGATGTAATTTCCTCTACCAGGAGTAGATAACTAAGATTGTCTATAGTAGAACAACTTTTCTTTAGCTGCTACCTTTCCAAGTCTCCTTACACTGGCCAGTTAGCTTTAGTTTACCTTGCAACCAAAGGATTTAGGTAAGAAGGCTAAATTTTTTTAGGGTTTGTCATTTTGTGTATTTTAATATCATTGAACTGAAGGATATTTATTTCATGCCAGAGTTGTTCTTATAGTAGTTGGTTTCCTTAGCAGCCACCGTTTGGTCTCATCAAGCAGTGGAATGTTTTCCTCTTTCCCCCTATAAATAGGTCAGCCATCTTGAGTTTTCATGGTAGAGTTAAAATGCTTCACTTAATGAGTTTTAACAGTTACTTCTTTGCCATAGTATTTCCACTTTATTTATATCAGGCCAGTACTTTGCATGTTCCTCTTTATGCCCTCTCATGTTGTACAAATTGCATTCCACTAGGAGAAAAGGATATTGAAATTGACATGGACAAGCAGCGTGTCTATGTGAAATCTACTTTGTCCTCTGATGAGTTGTTGGAGACAATCAAGAAGGCTGGAAAACCCTGCTCTTACATTGGCGTAGCTAGTGCATAGGAGGATGGCTGGTCTGGCAATAACTAATACATAAGTTAAAAAGAAGTCTACTGGTTTCTTTGTTCCAAAATAGTTCACTGTGCTAAATGAATGAATGAATGAGAGATTGTGGAGTTCCCAATAAAATTTGTAGAACATTATGTTAAGGCCATTACTGTAGGGCCTATATAGCAGGTTATTGAAAACTGTGAAGTTAATTAAAAGATATCTTTGCAAAATGAAAAAATAACTTTTGTACTTTTGCGCTTTTTATCAAGGCTGGGTGAACACTTTCAGTGTAGAATGAACCAATCACTCTAGTAGTTCAAAATGATGAAATCAGAGAAATGTTCTGACATTTCAATGATCAAAAATTTCAAAGTCCAACTTCCAAGTTCCAATTTGAAGAACTAGGGTGACAAATTACTGTTTCTCCTTGAGAAAAATATTACTGGTGAATCCCTTAGGGTGGGAGAGAAAGTTTTACACCTAATGAACTACACTTTAAAGATGTGGTTTTTCTCCTTTCACAACAAAAAATATTGAACATTTCAAAAGAAAAATGTAAGGATCAAACAATAAACATGTTAATGGCTCATGTCATTATTTTCAAATGCATAAGAAAATAGGAGAAGTGATATGCATCACCAATTATTTTTAAAACATTTGACAACAATGATAACAAAAGATAATAAAAATCCTCATCTCGAGTTCCCTTTCACATTGCTATTGATAATAAAGAGCCATTCCAAAATGTCCACAGCTTTATTGAAACCAACACACCTTAGAGTACAGACGATTGTGTAATGTTCTCATTTAAAATAAGGCCAAAAACATACACCTCAAGCTACTGAATAACAGAAAACGCAACATGACAAGTTATGCCTTCTGTTCACCCAAGACCAAACCCCTTCCACCCTACCCCCCTCAATTCATTACTTGATCTTATTTCTTATTGATAAAATAGATTTTGCTAATAAATTAATTGAAGGTCATTATCAAAATTCATCTCACTTCAAAATAATCCTCTTTTTTAACAATTTAATGTAGAATGTGCTGATGGTATTAAAGGGAAATGAAAAAAGTAATTACAACTCTGATTTCCCTGTGTTATGAGTAAAAATACTTGTACAAGCATGCCCAAATTAACCCTTAAATTCCCATGAGTGACCAAGTCAGAATTTCTCCTTACAATATCAATATAATATTGGGCAGACAAGTGATGAGAATAAAGAAAAATCTTAACTAGGGGGTTATTAGTTAATCCAATACCAAATTCTCCAAACTAACATCACAAGAACTATATGGCAGACAGTGAGGAGAATTACTAATGAGATCTTGGGGAGTTAAAGGGTTAAGAGAAAGAATAAACTGGAGAGATACCAATCAAAGTGCTACTCACTTCCATATTTAAGATTGTCACTTGCTGTGATGCCACAACTTGTGTACAATAATTCACAAAACTTATGTTAAACCTCACTAGTAATTAGATATCAACTGAAAGCTATCCAAGAATTAAATGTGGCAAAGGAGCTGAATGGGGTAGAACTAACTGCTGACAAACTTAAAAAACATGCAAACTAAGAAAGTTATATGTTCAATATAATGAAATATGGTCTATAAATAAACAGAGTATCCTAAACAGCATGTTTTCCTTAATTTGTCAAGGCCAATTCTACTCTGTAATTTGGTATTAACAACTGGGTTGATAATGTTAATTGGCCATGGTAAAGGGTTTCAAAGCTATTGTTTCAAGCATTAGCCCTTTGTCAAAGAAAATTTGCTCTGATGAAGGGTTTTTGCTTGAAATGTCAGCTTTGAAACTCTTTATGGTTGCCAATTTACATTCTCAACTCAGTCAATAATACTAACTTGCCTTTTAATACTCTTCCACTGATGCATCATTTTCATTTGAATAACCTAGATGTCACAACATCTTATAATGCAAGATCTTTTTGAGAACTATTCACAATGCGAACTTTTCAGGCTACTCGGTTAGAAGTAGAAAGCCAGCACATAGTCAGTGGTAGATTTGACTACCAAAAGATCTAACAAAGACAAACCCCTTCCATGAAAAAATACACTACATGCATCACTCCACCATAAACTATGAAATGACTAAAAGCACCATTATGACGTATTAATTATATTCAACAAACACTGACTCAGCACAATGAGGGGGGCAGGTTATGTCTTTGCATAACAACTACAAAGTAATTTTTTGGATTAAAAAAAAAAAGAAGTTTTCAGCCAAAGGGGCCTATGTTGATACTCCGCGATATAGAGATTTCCTAATTCTGGTTCAGAGATAAGAAGAAACAGCACATTTGCTGATTCAGTGGTTGTAATTTCTACCTGCTAATACTATTTCAGTTTATTTACTCATTGCAGATATTCCTTTCACTGCCTCAATGTCAAGGGGAATTTCTGTTAAGTAAGGTAAAAAGAAAAACCTAAAAAACACTTGACTTTGAAATGAAATTATGTTCAGAAAACCAAACAATAGTTTGCTTCTTTTAAGATGTGATCAACAATTTCAAAATCAACTGCACTCATTGGTTATGGATTTCAGAAATGAATTAAAAACTATGATCTTCAATCTCTCCAACGTAATAAGTAGAGCAACATCTGAAGGAAATGAAAATGATGGTCTTTCAGTCAGTCCCCTAAAGGCCAACCAGTCAGTCAGTTGACCATTCAGTTAATACATTTGTGAGTCACACAATCAGTGTGTGAGTCAGCCAGTTTATCTGCCTATCGGTTGATCAGTCAGTCAGTCATTAGTGTGATTGTCTGTCTATCAATCTGCCAAGTTTTCTGTCAGTCAGTCTTACAATGGAACAAAGGAAAAAGTTTTTGATGAGAATCATTTAGCAACCAACTTAAGTGAAAAGCAATTTCCTCTAGAGCAAATTTTCATTCATAGACTCTATCTATTAATTATCTACTATGGTTAAAAAATTTGATTTATTTGTGGTTTCATTCTGAACATGAGATACCAAACATGATAAATCATTTTGTTGAAAATTTTATCCAATGAAAAAAACCATATCCAACATATTGTAACATGTTCAAGATTGTGAACCAGCAAAATATTTAAACCTTGTCCCCAGTTAGCCAGAGTAAAAGTTAAAGTACAAATTTGTACAACATAAAAATCAAATTGACTGCCTGTAATTTGCAGCTATTATCCTTTCTAATAAATTTGATGTCTTATTCTCCAAACATTATTATACAAATGTTATTATAGACACCACACCAATCTAAAATTTGATTTTTTAACCTTTACACATGCTAGGTATAATAAGCCTCTTCCCTGAAAAGGGAAAAAAAAATAATGCCACTGAACTCAAGAAACCAGTTTCTTTCCTCTGCATTTTTTTCTTGAATGCTACTGACATCACTTCTATCTCATATTACCACAACCACAATGCCAAAGGTAATAGCTCATAACAAAGCTGGAAAGGAGCAGCTGTAACACTCCTGTTCTGTCATGGATGACAGACAAAACACAGTTGTTTCAAATAAACTAAACTGTGTTTGGAACTGATCACTGCCAAACTAGAGCTTGCCAGAACATACCAGGTACCTGACCAGATGAGGGAGACCTGTCATGTTTCACCCTGATTTTAACTTTTCCACTGACGTAGCCATAGTTGCACTATCATCTGATTTGCTTGTTGGGTTTCTCTGTGACTTGGACTTCCGAACTGCTGATCTCCACAGCCACCTTACTTTTCTCTTTGTTTCGTCATCATTTTCAGCTACTGATGATTCACTTTCAGTAGTGGAGTCTTGCCTCTTTCCAAACCAGCTCAGTCTCTTTTTGGATTTTCCAGTTGGTGAGTCAGGCAAGCCATTCAAAACTGGTTCATCTTGCTCTAATTTCTCACAAGATGCTGACAACTGTTCCAAAGACTTGGCTGAAACTTCAGTTTCTGTTACACCATTTATCAAGGCTTGTGCTCCAAGATGAAGACTTGGATGGCTTTTACTTGTATCAAAAGTTGCCTTTTCTCTCATTTGCACAACATCCTTTTCAGCATGCCTTGTTACATCTTTTCTATTACCTCCAGAATCACTTTCTTGGCCAGTCAAGTTGGCTTTATCATAAGAGGATTCTTTCTGCACATCATGCATGCCAACATTAGCTGTCACAGCAGAGTATGTTGGTGGGAGATCTTCTTTGCTAACTCCTGTCTCAGGAACAGACAGTGCTTTCCAAGGACTAGCACTAGAGGAGATCTTTCTACCAGAGCTGACCCCTGCCACATTGGCCACATTAACAAGAGCTTCTGCTATGGCTGAACCTGAGTTGGTTTGACTGCCACTTCCTTTCCCTATACCAAAGGATGTCTGTGACATGATCTGAAATCCACACAGTGATTCTATTTGTGACCATCTGTGCTGCCTCTCCTCAAGCTCATTTGTAACTTCTGCAAGTGCTGATCTAATATATAAATAAATAAATCATACTGATTAAATATTAGTAAATACATATCAAATCGATAAATTAATCAAATGAGTGAGGAAATAAATATTCCAAATGATAATTATGCCAGGCATAAAAAAATTGAAAAAGTCTTGGACATCACAAACAGTAGTAAGTATCTAGCAAAGAAATGATCCTCTCAAGTTGGACTGCAAAATTTGTTAGTAGTACTTAGAACAGTTAAATTCAATTTGCAATTAGGTAAGAAAAACTGTACCCATTGTGTAGGTGGAAGCATCCACTCTACTTTGATCCACCACCCTTCATGACATTTCAGCTTTGCCTCAAACTTACCCTTAAATCATAAATTTGAATTTTGCAATCCCTCCCTTCCCTTGGAGTGACAAATGTTTTGAGTGCATGTGCATATCATTTCTGAAACTGAAAATTACATATTCTTCACACAATAATTATGAAAAACAAAACTAACCTAGCACCAAGAATCTTTTGATCAACTTCGTCAATGGTTAGGTCATGGGCTAGACGCAGGGATCCCATCAAGCTACTACGTTTCTTCTTTATTCTCTCACACTAGGTTGAACAAAACAAAGACACTTAACTCAATAAAATAATGTTTGTGGTTTTCACACTTTATTGATGATGTCATGGATTTGACAACAATCCAAACCCCAGATGCTCTTAAGGAGCAGAACCAAAGTTATCACATCTAATTAAAAATACCAACTTTACTGAAAGTCAGAATTTTTGGAAAAAAAAAATTGATAAATGGCTACTCTGTCAGTGTAATAAATCTGAGCACAATTCCCCTTTCACAGACCTCCATAGTAACTCATTCAAGAGTTAAAATCTTACCGCCTCTTTTGCTTCCTTCATTTGTTTAAGAGCAACAGTTCTTTTCTGCTGGAAGTGTTTAGTTTCCTTGTCAAAAGTCATCTGTAGCCATTGTTTCAGAACAGCTGGTGCCTTCCATGACTGATACTCCAGTTCTTTCTCAGCTTTCCTCAAAGCACGGCGAACCTTAATTCAGATAATTGAAAAAAAAGAGATGCATGAATTTAACAACTCATCAAAAATGCAATTAGGATGGAAACTTGTAGAAGATTTTCTTATTTTTTTATTGGTGTGAACTTTGACTACCAGTAATTTACTTCTCCTCTGAATTGTTGTATAGTTACCCACTTCAATAAATCCCATATTCATAAATTATCTCAACAAATGATTCCACTCCCCATTCTATATGGCCTAACAAATAAAAAAAAATTACTGAAAATAAGAATTGGATAGCAGAGCAAAAAAAACTAGTAACACCAATACTGATCCTCTACCAAGTTGTTCTAATATTTTAAAGTTACTTGTTATTTTACTAGTCTACTACTTTTGAAGGCCTCTAAGGCCTCTTTCAATTCTGATCAGAACATTTTTACCTGCACCAGCTCTTCTTCTGCAAGCTTCAGTTTCTGCATTTGTTCCTCTGTCCCTGTACGAGTTTCAGCCATTAGTTGAGCTTCATTCTGTGCAATAAAAACCACAGTTACTTAACACCATTCCCCTGCCACTAATGGTACTGTAACATTTTCAAATGAAAACCCTCTATGTACGATGAAACATTAGTTTAATACACACCTTTGACATTTCCAGCTCTTCATTTAGCCTTGCCTCTAAATCAAGTTTCTCTGTAATGGCTAAATGATGATCTTCCTCTGCTTTGGCCAATCTATGAATTAAAAAATAAAAAACAACGTGATTGGATACAAAAGCAAAAGAATTATTAACATATCAACATCTAGACCTTCTTAATATGTCAAACAATGCATGCTGCCTCTTAAACACATTGCTTATTCAACCTTTTCACCCCTAAGAATGACCACACCTCACTAATTTCTCCCTACACAATGTACAACATCACCCTTGAATCACACATTAAGATCTCGACAAAGGAGGAAATCATCACCAACTAAAGCTGCTCTTGATTGTTCAACAAATTCTCCCTGTCAGCACCATAGGAAATATGGGGGGAACAGTAAGGAGAAGATGAATACTTATGTTAGGTTGTGAGGGGTAAAACAGACATATGAGTGTGTCTACATGGATGATGAGAACTGAATTACAGATTGCCAAATTACCTAGTTTGTAATTCCTGGAGACCATCCTCAGCTTGCTGGAGTATCTTCATGTCTTTGATCATACGTTCCATTTGTTCTTTTGCTTTACGTTTCTGTAAAATGGCTACCCAGCAACCAAAAGTTGCAACCAGCACAGAGAATGCTACAACAACATCCTTCAGTAGGTTATGTCCTAAGACTGAAACATTTAAAACAATTATGTTAGCTATTAAAATAATTTATTACCAAGACATTATATTGATTTCAAAATAAGTGTTAGGTTGTAACTTTATTTTGGAGTGGGTCAGACAGAGGTTACCAAATCTACTAAAACAGGATCTTTATGTTATCTGTTTTGAATGACTTTCTTTGTGATCACATCTTTTAAAATTAATTGCAGATCATGACTGCAGTAATTTGAAAGAACCACCACTAAGATTTCAAAGATTGATAATACAGTAAGACATTAATATTGGCTCGATTCCACAACAAAAATGAACAGTAATTCAAATCTTCAACATCCTCAAACTGACAAAAAACTGGAAATTTCACAACCTAAGGTTGAATTACACCATTTTATCTATAAAAGAAATGAAGGCCAATTTTCTGCTTTATAAGACTAAAGCTCAAGATTTAAAGCTGAAAAACAGCAATACTGAATTGGATACAACCCTTTCCTAGGAAAAGTTTAACAAAGCCCCACCCTTACACCGCCTTTGAAGGCTTCTACAAAAATAAGGATAATTTTTTCAAGGATACACATCATTTAATAGTGAGAAAATTTTGTCAATCCAAAAGGCTTGAACATAATAAACTTACCATAACTCAGTAGATTCTTAGATAGCACATTGCATAGAACAGAGAGTTTATTTTCACTTTCAGGTCATATTTAAGCAATCTTACCAAGTGGAGGTCCAAAAAGAACAATATCCATAGCTCGTAAGCCAATTTTCTTGCGATGTTTCGGATCTTTTATTCCCAGTTCATTTTGGAGCAGACCATTCTCCTCTGTAGCCAGCCTGCACATCACAAATGCATGTGAGATAGCTCAGGTAATTTATAATAAAACCCAAGCCAAACTTACCCCAAATATGGAACATAGCTACACCTTGTGTACCTTTATCATGCAATAAATGCATATCAATGTGTAGTGAAAAGAATTACTTATCACAAAAGCTTAGTCAAGGGAGCATTCTCTGGAAAGAAAAATGTGATAATTCATTTTATAATGTGCTTAAGAAAACTCAAGCGATTAACAGTGAAAAGAAATTAGAGGTTTGCAAAATTGAGGATTTTAGTTTAAGGATTCCAAATTAAAGCAGTTACAGTATTGAGAATTACTAATTGCCAAAGATTCATTAAACCACCTGTTGCCAGCTGTTTTCAACATTAGTCTTGCAATCTTTTAACACATTCCTACCAGTAATACTCAGCCAACTCCATTTTTAGATAAACATTGTGCACATTCCAACAGAAGTGCACACACCAGTTTAAAATTTATCTGATGAAGCCACTAAATTAAGAAAGCTGTAAGAAAAAAACCTTTGAACAATTTCTCTTGGTATTGCTACTCACAGATGACAAACTCATCTTTAAATCATCAACTTTTTTTCAACATTGCATTTTTGTACAAAAATAAGCGAGAGGGTTGAAAACTTCCTCTTTATAATCTAAGCAAATTTCGTAATTTTAACTCCTTGTTATATTACCATTTAATTCATAAAACGTATTTCAATTTAGTACTTTTTGTTGCAAATCATGATCACTTTGTCTCTGAGAAAAATGCTCATCAAAATACAAAGTCCAATAAAAAAATCACTTTTTCTCCCAATCCCTCAAATGTACTCTCTATTATAGTGTCACACCTTCTACAATAACTTAAAGACAATCTTTTGTTTTAGTTTTAAAATAACCGAAATGCTTGAGCAAGCTGGAAGACTCACACAAACAAGGAAAGAGTTTGCAGCGTTAGTAAAGATGGTAATATCTCATCTCCTTGATAACTGATTAAGGATTCTTCAAGTACAATTAAGACAGCTAGGGCAAACCTGTCCAATATATACTAAGAAGGAATCTAGCTCCTATTAGATAGCTTCCCTGATAGAGTAAGAAGATGAAGTCTAAAAGAAATATTGAATTACCCATTTATCAGAATGTACTATCTAGGAATTTTTAAAATTTTGTTCCTCTGTAGCAACAATTTGTCACATTTTGTTACATTAGGCAGCTTCCCAAATACAAATTCAAACAACATTCATATTTAATTGGCATCAGATGTAGACATCCATATGCAATCTTTGCTCAATTATATAAAAGTCATGTAGCTGTGAGGTGTACATTGACGGATGTGGGAGAAAGGTAAGTAACAATACATCAACTCAATGTATTGAAAAATCAACAACTACATTAAATTCATTACAAATGCCAAACTAGAAACAATTAATCATGAGACTTTGGAGTGAAGCAATTTTTTTAATTCCAAAAGCTATGGAAAAAAATGTTAAGACTGAGAGGCTATAGAGAGGCAGCTTGATGAAAGGTAATTTTTTCAAACTTATTTGATTGTCTAACTCTAGGAATAATAAATACACTATGTTCCATGTTTTTCTTTACATTTTTCCATGTTTTGAAATTTTCATGCTGTACACTTAATGTTGAGGCAAGGGAAATACACCAGTGCAATGTGCTGTATAAGGGGCAAGACTAATTTTCTTCCAGGGATAAAAAGGTTTTAATGTAGAGGTAGTCTGCTTACCGTGGTACATCTGATCCATTGATAGCTGCAGTCACAAAAACATCAGCATATTGTGGAAGATGGACAGAGTTTTTGAGCCATTCAATGACTTCTTCGTTAGTCCAGTTGTGAACTACAAAGCCCAACATTGACTATAAGCTAACATTATTTTAATGATGAAGGGGATAATGAACATGAACACATTAACATCACTTAATAATGTTGCAGAAATCAATGAGTTAGTAACATTACAGAGCCTCACTTGTTTGAGGAAGGACTGCTTTTTTGTGACAGTCAAGAATCTATGTGGATGTTATCATCAGACTCATGATTCTGACAACAACTTATGCTCACGTTAATGCCATCCATTTTTTCAGGACTACCCTCAACCTCATGATCAGATTAGACAATAGTCACTGTCACTTGTTACTAATAGGATCAAATCTTTTACTGTTCAACCCTTTAACTCTCAAGATCTGATTGGTAACTCTCCCCACCAGCTGCTACACACATCCTGGTAAATTAGTTACAAGAACTTGGTGTTAGATCAAGACAACAACTTCTACCTGATAAGTTTGAATATTCTCATTAGCTGTTTGCTGGATAATGTAAGGATATTATAAGGAGAAGTTTCATGTTGATCAATTCTGGGAGTTAAAGGGTAAAAAAACTGAGACTTTCAATAAGTTGTCAGTCCAAGGATTCTGACCTGCGCTTTGCGCCCAACTCTGCCAGAGTTCATCCACAGAGATGTGATCATCATTTCCATGGAAGTGGGAGTGCCGTTCTTCATCAGTCACTTGAAGTTCATCACGCATAAACTAAAAAATTCAATTTAAGAAATGCAAGATAAGTGCATCATTAGTGAAGATCACATGAAAGAATAAGAAACAGTAAACAGCGCAGAAAGGTAGCTGCCTCACACCAATATTGTACTCACACACATAGAGGTTCAGAGGAAAAAAGTTAAGTACTTGACCCAAGCTTTATATGGGTGGGAGACAGAGCCCTACTCTACAGTTGTTCAATATCATGGACTCCAGATCAAAAGGACAGGGTTTAAATAATGGCTGGGTACTCAATGGTTTTTTGGTTCTTGGGGAAGACACTTCCCTCTCACATTGTCTTTTTGCACCTGGGAGTATTAATGAGTAGCACAAAACATTTAAGAAAATTTGATGAATGTTTGGGGGAAGGGGCGGGGACTACCTAAGATAAATAGGTGGTTGTCACTAATAGGAGACAGAAGAATTCTTAAAAGCTATTTCACAGAATTCTATGACTACAGAATAGAATTCTCTCCCTAAATTTTTCATGGCACAAGCAATAATGTTGCTTCTTTAGAAACAGAGCTGTAAAATTAATGCAATTTACCCTCCTGCTACAAATAGTCACTGGAAGCTCATGATCTTGAGATTAAGTCTGAGAGTAAGGGGACAGAAAAACTGAAAGATTTGACCTTTTTTGGTGGTAAATCAAAACACTCACCTCATTTGATTCACTCAAGTCAACTTTCCCATTCCTGTCATCATCTAGGTGGACATGTATTTTTGTAATTGCTTCACGATTCAACTTTTCATTTTCCGTCAGATGATCTAAACATAGTATAGATAGGACATTAAAATTCAACATAACCCTTAGTGTAGAACACTCAGTTGATGTAAAATAATAGAGAAAAAAAGACACAAGAACAAGTAGAACAATGAAAACAATAGGGTTCTGAAAAGGTGTTCTATTGTGACATGTCCTGCGTGCTTCTACACCGAGAAGGAGCCCCTTAATATCTCTCAATTCTTATTGAGAATTGAGACACAGCCTGTCATTCACCTGTGTAGCTTGTGTCATTCACTCAATAACATCATATTTCACCTAAATCATCACACTTAAAATTTACCATCTTAATTGAAATCATCAATAATATATTGGTCTCCGAGGGAATGGAAGAGATAATAAAGGAAATGTCTGTCATGCCCAGTCAAAATGTTCACTCAGGATTCCATCTTCAAGATTGTGTTTATAATTATTATAAACACAATCTTGGAAGATGGAATCCTTACCTAATGGAAGCTGTACCTAAGTTTTTGTCTAAAGCTAATGAATGTATGGTGATGGTTAACTCTTATATATATTGAAAGTTTTCACAAGACAAAGTTATCAGTAACTGATAACTTTGTCTTGTAAAAACTTTTAAAAAAATGGCTGCATGCATTACAAAGCAATAGAAACATGTTGGGCATGTAATTATATCTGTGTATAATCACATGTACTACAACTATCCAACTTGTAAGCTCGCACTTGCACTAAGACTTTTTGCATGTGAAAGAGTTTGGTTTTAGTATTGCACAGGAACTTGATCAATTGCATGCTATGGTTCAATAAATACAAAGTGCATAACTGGAGAGCTGAAATGACAATCAATTCAAGCCTAACATTTAAAAGGCACACATTGACTTTTGACAAGTTTGAATAAAACACCCTAAACACTCTACTTAGCTAATTAAAGCAAACATTCCAATGTATCATGTTCTGGTTTTCATGAGTATGCTTCATTTGTTTCTTTCATAAAAAATAGGATGTATTTCCTTTAATTTTGTACTTTGAACTATCTGGTATTATTTTGCTAAAAAAAGTAATAAAAGCATGAATACCCAGTGAGAATACTGATGTTGCCATGGGTACATATAAAATTTTAATGATAAGCTAGATATTAAAAGTTCCCTGAAGTAAAATTTATCACCAATGAAAATAATGTTAAGCTTTACTATCGAGTCATAAACATCTTTGTAGGCTCAGTGTTCTATAATAAGAATTATATTTAGTCGGTGCTTTTTATCCCCTAAACAACAAAATAACAATGCATCAACCTATATTTTCGACATTAGCAAAGAAGCTGTGTGCATCTTTGTTTGTTAGCTTAGCTTTATTATGTCCTGCCTAGGAGAAACCTAGTCTAAATGTTGCATCAAATTCTTTCCATGTTTATTCAGAATACTAATGAATTTAGAGGAAGAATTTATTATTATTGCAGATTTAGCCAGAGAGATACAGCTTGTTTCACATGTTTTAGCTCCAGATTAACACAAAAGTTATACTTGTCACCTAATGACTTTTAGAAGTATTCCATGAAAGTTATGAATAATTGAGCATGCTGCATAAATTTAATTGAAAGTTTTAAATATTCTGCATAAACAAGGAAATGAGTTCAAGCAGGAAAAAAAAAATGAATGACTTTAGGTGAAATCAACCTGCTAGCGTCTTCTGAAAAGTGCAGTGTTTATGTAATATACATTGGAGTCCATTCTAGAACTCTCTCTGGATATATCATCTTTAATTATTTAACAACATCAGAAAAAACCAAGCTCACAAACAAAACAAACCATGTTTGAAATACATAATTCTGTGGTTGCCAATGTTACTGATGCCCTGTTATTCATTCTTAAATGCCATATATACCGTGGAAATTCACCAAGTTTATTTTGGAAATATAATTAGGATACGAATTGAACTAAAGTTGCGCTGAAGAGCAACAAAGGTTGTCATCCTTCCCAATTGTTCCTTTTGTCACTATTTGTAAGCATTTCGTGCAAATTCGTGTTCTGTTGACCTTGGAAACAATCGAAATATTTCACCGTAAAAAGGATTCGTGGTTTTAGGCAGTTAATGTCTCTTTTTCATGCTCTGCTACAAATTGGATTTCTGATGCATTTAACTTAAAGCTCCCACGAAAGAAGCTTAGTTTTGTAGCCAAATTAGTTAGTATGTGTAACTGTCCAATTAAAATTCTCCAACTCACACCCCACTCGCACATATAGGTAAACATAGGCTTAACTAAAAAATTATCCCTAAATTCGTGCAATTTTCTCTAAAATGTTATATCTGAAAATGAAAATAAGCCATCATCGGTGGAAGAGTTTGTACGATGCGTTTCTAGCACTCGAAGATGAGGTTGCGTTCATAAATGCAGCAAAATATATATAAGGCGCCGGCAAACACAAATAACTGCTTCATTTATGAAAGGAATTAGCTCTTTACACTGGTTAATAAAAGAGCTCTGTTTGAATTTGATGCGAAATGTATATTTGACAATTTCTAAGAATTTTGATCCGAGCAGACATTTTCCACGCCAAAAAAATCGGCTGTGTAAGAAACAGATCAGCGGCTTACCAGAGTTGAATTGACCGCGACCCTTCGGAAAATATCCTTTCGTCGTCAACGACACCAATAAAACTTTGACAAGCCATGATATTGCCATTTTCTGGAAGTGGATATTAAACCAGCTGATAAATATTTTGAAGGGAAAACGCCACCGGCAGATTCATTTGTTTCTACCATATTTATGCGGCTGACTCGATTTGGTGAGTCGTGAATCCACCATTCGGATACGAAAATCTTCGTATATAATCGGGAGGGTTCGGAGAAGCTTTATTTTCGGTCTGTGTCAAGAGAAAGAATATTTTTCACAAAGTTACGACTTTCTTAACAAGAAAAATTACTGTAAGTGTCTTGTGAGTGACCGATAGTGAAGTAACTGACTTACTTCCCGGTTCAAAGAAAGATTTTAATGCGTGTGTTCCTCGTAACACATTTTTGTTTCCGGTTTTTAAACTTCCGGTCTTCTGACGTCATAGGTAGGGACACGTCACGAGTTTACAATCGATTACAGAAGTTGTTCGTTTCCCTCAAAATGCCGGGCGATCCGAGCTCCAGAGGTAAGCTTTGTATCTTCTAAGACCCAAAAAAGTGTTTTTATGATACTGGTAGTTTATCATAAAATACGATAGTCGAAAATAATCGTTTAGAGACGTAAAATTTCCGAGTTTGATCCAAGTTTTCGTACAAGTGACTTCAGACGCACTCAATATGGCGCTTTCCGTCAGAAGATTTTTGATTCACTCTAGATCTATCTTGCTTATCGTCGAATCGTTCGATCATGTAGAGATACTTTACCTATTTAGTTACTTACGTGTAAAATGAAGTGAAAGACTAGGCTAGTTTCTAGATTCATTTGATTCACATGGTTTTTCTGGTATGACTTTAGTTCAATAGAACTACAACACGCAATCAGATTCTATGTCTACTCTTTATTGAACGGCTGTTCATTCCAATTTTAGTCACGTAAACTCCTTCATTTTAAGGTAACAAATGGGGAAAAGAGTCTCTTATTCCCGGAAAAATTCTCATTAGTCACTAGCGTGCTCCCACAGGAGCACCCATGGAAAACTCTAGGGCAACCTCGAAAATATTTATACCCTGATCTGAATATTCATAACGTCATAACATTAGAAGTTAATCCTAGCATTCGTTTACAACCACAACTTTCTCGTACATAGTATGACAAACATGGTTTTCTGTTCCAATTTAGCCTCTGGTGGTATCATAGCTTATAATGGCGATTCTGCTCGAGGTTGGAATGACCCTCCAACTTTTGCGTTCTCTAATAACTCGACGGGCAACAGACCGAAGTTAGATCTAAGGAAGAGAGTATCACATCAGCAAGCTTTACATGGAATACAAACACCGTCGCAGAGTTTACAACCAGCTGTTGTTAACAACGAAGAAATTACAAACGGTACGTCGAGATTTTCCAGTGTTTCCGAGTTGAAATCTTGTTGAGATTGTCTAATATTAAGGATTGCACAATTCAGCGATGTCATGATGACAAAAACTCTGAAAATTATTTATAAACTTTGCACCCTGCCGTGATGTTACATGTCTGTAATACATTTGAGTCGTAAAATTTTGGTTCAGTAATAATAAATACTATATAACTTCTGCGATGGAAACACGAGGAATCTTCCTCTTTTTTTTATCGTTGTTTATTAGGTATAAATCGATTATCAGTGATCGTGGAAGATCAGATCGGGAAATTTGCCCCGGGCAAAAATGAAAGCCTTCGGGATTTCAGCATTTGTATTAATAAGTGTTTTAAGGTACCACAAACATCAATAGTTATGAAATTTCAAAACCCAGAAAGTGTCTGAGTTTTAGAATGGTGACAGTGATAACTTAAACAGACTATAAAGAAACGAAATATACACTATTTATAATCATGCTAAACCAATCACAGCATTTGAAAGTACTTATTAATTTCCTTTTTCTAGGTACATCTGTCTGAATTATTATCATTTTTAATTTTGGAATAATAAAAAAACATGTCTCCTTCAACTTGATCTTCAATTCTCTCACAGCTGTGCTTAATTGGAAAATGCAGAATAAAACTTCAAGCAGTCTTAACTTACATGTAATTATTGTTTTTCTCAAACATGATTCACCATTTTCACAGGTGTTGGTGCTCTTAAACTCAATGGCATCTCCCAGCCACTTTATACACAACCTCCAGTGACAACAAATGCACCTCTTGGAAGTAATAACCTGGATGGCATTGCCCAGCCTCTTTTCACACCACCAGTGACAACAACTCCTCCTCTTGTTAGCCATAATCTTAATGGCATCACCCAGCCGCTTTTCACTCCAGCACCAGTGACAACAGCTTCACCTCTTGTAAATACTAATCTCATGGCTCCCTCAATACCAACCATGTTTACAAGGAGTGTATCCACACCATCTTTCACTGATGCAGGAACAGCAAATTCAAGTGATGTATCTGTTAACTCAACGCAAAGTATCAACCCTCCAGGGACATATGCACATGCTAAATCAACAGAGAATCTCTCAGGGAATCTTGGACAACCATTATTTGCTCTCAAAGATCATAGTTTTGAACCAATAAGAACTGCACCTCTACACAGTATCCGCTCAACGGCAGAAATCAGTGATCATTTTGATGATCACCACAGCTCCCCACAGATATTCCATCCAATAACTCCTCCTGTAACAAAAGCTTCCGCCATGCCAAGTTATCAAGATAACCCACTTATAACCCAGCCATCCATCCCACCACCATTACCAAGCCAACCTCCAGTTGGTCACACAACACCTCCCTTGTATCCAGTACACAGGCAGAGCCCTGTTCCACCAACAATGCTCCCACAGGGGAATGGAATAGCTAAGCATCCTCACATGGGACACAGTATGACTCCACCACCACTCCCAGGGAATCAAATCTCATCTTCAGCTTCATTAAGTGCAGGGAATACTCCTCGCAGTACCTCTCCCTCTGGTGAGGAGAAAAATGAAGCTGTCTCTAATGCAGTGGATAACCAAGAAGGGCTTAAGATCACAATGGATGCCTTACAGGATGTTATTAACAAGCTTCAAGACAACCTAGAGGTTAGTGTTCTAGTGTAATTTGTTCAGCACATCATGGCCTGTGATATCCCTTCTCAGTCTTGTTATCCACAGTGCTGTGCAAAGGCAAGGATCACTCTCTTTTAATCATCTCATCTCATCACTCTGACTGTGACTTCAATTATGTCACTTCACAAGAACTTTGTTGCAGCTGAAATAGTAAAATATCTCACATGACTTATTTCAGTCATTGCATCAGCTTGGGAAGTCATTTGTACATGCATTAGTCAACAAAACATTCTCTTTCTATCACAGAAAAGAGTTGGTGATGATATTGCAAGAAGACTTCAAGTGATGAGTCAGAATTGGACAAATGGGAAACTTAGTCAAGGTGTCAAGAGCAGAATGATAAAGCTTGCACAAGGTAATGAAAAATAGATATCTCTTCAAGCTCCTAGTTTTCTGTTATTAAGGGGATTTGAAAGTTAGTTTTACAAAATTGTGTAAGACAAGTTGATATTCTTGACTGGTATGTTAGGCAAGAAGGTTTTACTACTAGTATTCAGCAAAGACAAAGTAATATTTTATACTGCATGAATATCTTGAATATGATTTAACTTAGATGTCGGCTGGTGCAATTCAGAGTGCCATTACAACTACTTGTCTGTAAATATGTCTCTCTATCTCAAAATGTCATTTGGATTGTAACAAATTGAACTCTAATCATGAGAAAAAGTTGCTAGACACTTTAATTTGCAAAAGTAAGCAAATATAACATCCCATCTTCTTTACACAAGAAGTTCCAACTACAGACCTTTTTTTTGTGTATTTTCAAAGGTATCCCAAAAACATTTGGCCAGGATTGTAGTTCTGTGAAATTCTTCAGTGGCTTAGTAAATCTTTTTTTTAATGTAACTGTGTTCATGATCTTTCATTAGCTCTAGATGGTGGAAATGTTGAGGAAGCACATCAGATTCATATTTCACTAATGGTGGATTTTGTTAGTGAGGTAAGCTCTTCTGCCACACTAAGCCAACAACTGCTGTTGTAAGGGTTCAGTGATAAGGTTAAAATCTTAAACTTAATTGTTGCTTGAAGATATTTTCCTTCACATAAAGTTGTTTTTAAATGCAAAGGAAAACATCAATTTTATTAGGGCCAAGGCAATTACTTTTTAGTGTGTGACATTGTAGACTAGTAGCCTGTACAGAATTAACAATTTGATTTTAACTAATTCCTGTCTTTTTTTTCAGGTAAACCAGTGGATGGTTGCCGTGAAGAAGTTAATCAATTTAGTCCGTACATCAAGTGCTTTCCCAGCTCATTCATGATACTCAAGAAATTTGAAATATTAGACTGTCTATTAGTAATTTAATTGAACATTACAGCAAGTGAAGTGAAAAAGACTTAGGAAATCTCAGGGATCTATGGAGTAGTTGTGATCTGTGACTGTTCCAAATGGTCTGGAGAAATCAAGAATTTCAAATCAAGTTAGAGTTTGTGAATTAAAGACTTTGTTTATCATCTGTTATGGTGTTTTAACACAGTTATTGTACTCTGTCAAGAGGTGGCAGTGACAAATAATTATATGAAATTTTATTTTGAAAAAAGAAAAAAACACCTTTAGAGTTAGTTTTAATATTTAGTAAAGAGGATTTGGTGGAGAGGGCATGCAAATGTTGTAATTAATGTGAAATTGTGAGAGCTGTGTAATCTTGCACACAGAAGTGAGTTACTATATTGGTTGGTATGGTCTGTTAGAAAGTTCCCCTATTTTATACACAAATGATTTGCCCTCTGTGTGGGCTTATTCACAAATTCCAATCTCTTTCCAAAAATCTTCAATTTGTGAGTAAATATCTGTATTTATTATACTATTAAGAGAACAGGAACAACGATTGAAAGAGCTTTAATTAGTAGAATGTGTCCCAAGGTCATTGTATTTAAGCTTGAGAGTTTAGGAATGTAAACTTTGATACTTTAAACTTTAGAAATTTAAACTTCGAGAGGGGCTGGATTGCAATTTTCAACTTACTATTACAGGTGAATTATTAACTGAAAAGGAATTACAACTCAATATTTCATTGTAATATCTTAGCAATAGCTGAAATTTATGATGTAGACAATTAATAGTAAGATGGATTAATTTAATCTTTTTTCCATTGGTTAGTTTTGAAAAATGAAGAAAAGTGCAATCAAGCCCTCAGACTCAAGGTTTTAATTCAACTGGCTAAGAAACATAGTGCTCAGTTACTCTGCTTGACACAATGTTTTAGTAGGAAAGACTGTAAATAACATTGAGAAGTGTACAAAAGTATCTAAATTAGTTTAAGTGCAGGAACGGTCATGTCTTAGTGTTTGAAGGTAATCATTAAATCCTACAAGAACTGATGGAGGTGTTTTGTCCACATAAATGGTCCTTTTCAACCCCTTTGACTCCAGTGATTGACTGAGACAATTTATCCTTGCAATACAAATTCTATATCAGGTAGACAAGGGATGAGAATAGAGAAAAATATCAATTAAGAAATTATTAGTTGATCTAATACCAAATTCTTCAGACTAACATCATTTTGTTTCTATGGCAGACAGTAAGAAGAATTACCAAATAATTGAGGTCTTGGAAGTGAAAGAATGAACTGCCTTTAATGAAAATACTTGCATCAAGTACATTTGTAACAGTACAAATTATTAAATTTCCCATGTAGGTTTTAGTTTTTTTTTTCCATGCTAAGGATGTAAAAATATACATTCAATGTCTCCCAACCTCTCTCAATGTCCCTTCAATACTTTTCTCTCAAAAATAATTTAACAACTTAAAATTCTGAGTGTCCAGGAAGAACCTATGGATTTTGCCTAGAAGATCTATGTGATCTCTCTTTGCCACCAATCAACAAGCATTTCCATATGCAACAAATTACAACTTCCACAAGTTGTGTTACAAAGAATTGTCGATGAAAGCTTATTCCATGTATAGATATGCTGTCAATTTTCTTTTTCACACATCATCAAACATTCTCTTATCATATATTTGTGTTACAACTTGGAGAAATAAGATTGTGTTGCATGAACTTTGTTCAACCAATCCACCATGATTCTGTTCAATTCCAACGGACTGAAAAGGATACAAAAATTAACAGTGAGAAGAAATGTGACTTAAATATTTACTAGTAGTTAATAATAGAAGAAAGCAAGAACCATCTTTTGCAAATTGTCTGATTAAGCACCAAATTCTCATAACTAAAGTGATAAGAAATATCTGGCAGATGGGGGGAGATTTTATATTGAGATCTTAGAGCGACAGGGTTAACCTGTATGTTTGGGAAAATTCTCTCATTAATACAGATAAATAATTTCATTATAAATATCTAATATTTAGGTTGACATTTTCCATACCATTCAAGTGTTACCCAATGTGATGCCTCCTCTATGTGTGCTCTGTCTAGTCTAGGAATCTTAAGAAAAATTATCACAATCTTAAGAATAGAATACATAATTTGAACCTGGGGTAACATGTGTTAGTGTAGTCTGGTCGTTCAGGTAAGTGGAGTCCTGACAAGGACTGTTGTCAGTAGTGAAGACTGATGATTCAACAACCTGAGCATAAGTCATCATCAGGGTCAAGTGTATTGTTGTCGTCAGTCACAGTAGTCCTTGTCAGGACCACCCTCACCAACAATATCAGAATACACTATCAAACTTTAAGAACATCATTCTACTCAGCATACTGTTACCCTGATAGTACAATTTATTTTCCACAAAAAAATAATTGGGCCCTTAAGACCTGTTAAATACTAAATGTCAGCTGAGGTTCTATTTTTGCTCTCTCAGGATTCATAGTTACTCAGAAGGTGATACAAAGTCCCAAAAGTCCTAATGTACATGTAACCCTATCTGCACTCATTCCTCAAACCAGTTGGATTGTTATGCAGTTAAAGTAAGAGAAGTCAGTAACTGGGAAAAAATGTCACAAAGACATATGACTCCTTAAATTTCCAAAATTCTCAGCAATAATTCACAGCTAAAAGAGAAGCATATAAAAATTTTATGGGGAAAGAAGTGTGAAAGCAAGGAAAGACACATTAAATGATTTCAAGTAATGTCACTGCATGTCAGTGCTAAGTTTCAGTTTTAGTTACCAAATGAAATGAATCATTAAAAAACTTTTTGTAACAACTGACAACAGACTGTTTTGCTTACCCATTGATCCATTTTGACACAGAACTGAGGTTTTATGAGGACATCCCTTCCTACTGTGATCATTAAACTTGGTTGTTGCACCTATACAGAAAGAAGTAAAACCTTTAAAAAGAAAAGGTCCACTGACACCTCCTCCCAATAACAGTGGCGGCAAACACAAAAAAATCATGTTACATTTCAATGGGGAAGAAGAAAAATCAGTTCAACAGATACTAGATGTTGTGAGGAGAACTGAGATGTGTAAAAAGATCTTTAAATAATCAGTGAGAGCCTCAACAGGAATTCAAAGTAAAAAGGAAATTTCAGATTTACCTTACGGCCAGATACCTTACAATTCCATTTCCAGTCTTTTTCCATTGTTCTGTACCAATTCAATGGCCCCCTATAAGCATCACATGTTACAGTAATATTAGTCTGTTGCCCATTTTGGTTTGATTCTCAATAACAATGAAACTATCAAATTAACAGAGCAAATTGGGCACAGGAGGACTGGTACTTCTGAAATAACACTCTTAAAATAAAAATAATATTATTATTGATGAATATTCAAGTTAACCTTATCTTGAGTTGTTTCTAACCTAAATCCTGTCTTGTTGTACATTTCCACCAAATACTTCAAGACATCATTAGTTAGAATCCAGCTTTTCTCCACTTTTTCTGGCAGCCCAGTAAAAAGTCCACCTAAATACATATAGGAGAGAATATCATGCTCTTAGCTTGGAATGGACCTTGTGTTGGGAAGTTGTAAGTTGGTGTTGTACATTAGCACAGTAAATAAACATACCTCTTTCAAGCACATCATAGGTACTCCATTTCAGTTTCTAAATAAATAAATAAATAAATTTAAGTCTAGAAAAGTTGTACAATGATAAAAGTAGCTACCCAGCTTAGTATATAACCAAGAAAAATTTATATGCCTACCGTAGCATATTTAAAGAAATTAAGTTGCCCTGTCTCCAGCTAATGCTTCAGTCTGTTTTTATTTGGCCATTTGGACATTTTAAAAAACTCTCCATGACATTTCAAGTGATCTACACCATCACAGCCCAGCTTAAGGCTTCTATATCATCAAAGAACTAGGAGTACTTCCTTACCTGATGATCATTAGCGCCTCTCATTAGCATGACAAATGTTCTTTCAAAGTCTCTCTCAAGTTCTTTCTCTGGAACACCCTAGTGAACATTTAGTTAATATTTATTCAGCGGCAAAGTTACTTGGTGTAATGTGTAAGGGTTTTTTTTAAAAATAATGCTTGTGAGTGAGTTATTACAGATTACTTGCTGTAGCACTAACCTCCTTGTGAAAGTAAAGTTGATACTGATACACTCCTGGGTTGGCTTGCAGTCTTTCCAGTGGGTTCATGGTTGAAAAAGAGGGAATGAATGGTGTCATGTTTATCACAGCCCTGAAAGAAAATACCTCCATTGATCAGGAATTAAACCTTTCAGTAAACAAGTATATGCTTATTATTAGATCAGAAGAAATAAGGGAATTATCAACTACGATATACTGTACATAGATATATGTTTAAGATAGGTATGATTACAGGTGGAAATAATTTCAGACTAGTTCAAAATGTATTAATGTAAATATGGTAATGTTCAATTATGGTGATGTACCTAGCACAAAGAAGATAAGAAATCAAACAACTTGAAACCTTTTTTGCCTGATATTCAATTTTTACTACTGACAACATATAGGCCCCAACCAACTTCTCAGGCATAGCAAACAGTGATATGAAATCAATTTAATATACATCCGTCAACAAAGTTGGTTATTAAATTTAGTGAGTGTGCTTTCAGTTAAAAATAATAAAAACCTGGAAGAACATCTGAGTTACTTACAGGATCCTCTCAGGGTAATGAAGGCTAAGGTCCCAGGCAATAAAACCACCAAGATCACGACCCACTATTGTGGCTTGTTGAATGTACTGGTTGAGGAAATGATTATCAAAACAACATGTTTACCATTTGGCACAAAGCATTGACTAGAAAAATAAACTTTAATTTGCTCTCATCAGGTCAATTCTGTCATAACTGAAAATTTTGAGGGCATTATAACATTATCGATGGTGACAATAGATTGGAAACACTGTGCCGATGATTCTGAGTTCAAAAAGAATATAAAATACAAATTACTGGTAAATATAATTAACTTGATGGTACAATTATTGTTGAATCACTGTTTATTACACTTCATGGTGCATTCAAACTTAATCAACTTTATCATGTTAATTTAAAACTTTCCTTGTATATGCATATATTGTTCTCTCACAATGGTTTGTTTTGTCCAATCAGCATTTTGTTACACACTTTAAATTCAACTTTGTAATTTGTATTATTCAGAACTGAAGATGACAGAAGAACTATTGAAACATGTTTTAAAAAGTGTAGTTCATTTTCTTAACCTTAATCACCTTTTCACAAAACATTTCAGTTTTGAAATATTTAATTTCTGAACAAACATCAGCCCCTCATAAAAGAAATATACCATGTCTAAAACTATACTGTTACAGTAAACATGGAGCAGATACTTACCAATGAATTCATCAGAGCAACAATGTCCTGTGGAAAAAAGAATAAAATATTGAATATTCACCCTTTCATTAGCACACTGTTGGTTTCTGTAGTGGTCTCATGCTTCCAGAAGTCTTATTACTAGCACAAAGAAGACATAATCATTCAAAACTTACAGCACACACATGTTCCCTTCCATAGGCCTCAAGCTCTGAAAACATAATTTAAAATATTTCAAAACTTTCAGCTGAAATTAAGTTATAATTACGAAATGACGTGCAACTTAAAAATGAAGATAAACTTTTCATGTCTGAAAAAGACAGCTGAAGTCAATATATCAAATATTACCTCAACCCAAAAAAATTTAGAAAATAGACTGTGAAAATATAGTTTTTGTAGCTTTAATGTATCTCTAAAAGCTTTCTATTAGAATTAATAAGCCTTGAAGTTAGCAAATAGCATTGGTTATGAAATGACCAAAATTCTTACAAATATCATTTATTTGATAGCTGTGACAATAAAACTGTTTCATCATGTAACAACTATTACCATATGGACTTGATGTTTGCCCCATCCCTCGAAGATCTGGGGCAATGACTCTGTATCCAGCAAGGGCCAGAGCTGTGATCTAACATACACAAAATAACACCTTAAAACAGGCCACAACCCTGGACAAGTTAGTGTAGAAACATCCCACTCAGTCTCTATCACTATTCAGTCTTTTTCAGGTGGTGTGATTTTTCCATTAATACGATAGACAAGGGGGAAGGGCAAATTTTTTCTAGACAATCGTAACAAGGAGAGTACATTGTAAAGTCTTGAAGATTGAAGATTTTAGCCATGATCAATAGTATAATAAAAGTATTGGACTGTACAGATATCAAGAATAAATCATAAATTAAAACTAATAATTAATAAATATTAGGTAAGTAAAAGTTGCTGTTCCAATTTCTGGTAAGGCTTACCTGATATTTCCAAATATACCACAATTCAGGGAAACCATGAAGCAAAATAACAACAGGTCCATGTCCCATTTCCACATAATGCATCCTGATACCTGTCTACAAATAGCAAAATCTTTATTAGTGACTCTGGTTATGGCTTTAGTGCTTCTTCTAAGTTGGTTCAGAAGATTCCTGAAAATACACTAAACAGTCTTTATGTAAGCTGTGTTTAGACAATCAGGTGGCACTTCCTGAAAAATTTGGGCTGGGCTAGACAAGAAAAGAAACAAGTATTATTACTAATGTCTATGGTAACTGTTTTTTTTCTGGTTTCCTACAGTTGTTTTAAAGTTTTATAACATTATCTGCATAAAATATACCCCATGCATCCAGTAAAAAAGTCTACAAACAGTGATTTAGTAATTTGGGTCCAGAAGAAATCAAGTGTTACTCTTCAATTTAAAGGGTAATTGTAAAGAGTAGCTCAACCTTAAGATTGATGTAGCAGTGAACAGCATCATGAGGAGCACAAGGTTCCACTGCATACTGCTGAAAAACCTACAGTGCACAGAGACAACAACATAAAGGTCAGTATGGTAATCTTGATTGAAAAGAGTCAGAGTCACTGATAAGTCTGTCCACCAATTGTACTGACTGTATCAGTTCTCATGCTTTGCACCAAGTTAAATCTGATCTTTCCTAACACATCAAACTTACATCAATTCCTGTTATCTTTTTAAGATCACTGAGAGCTGTAACAGGATTTTTCACAAGAATGGTTAACATTCCCATTCCTTTTGCTGGTTTGAGATTTTGAGGGGAATCATCCAGAAATATCACCTAGGACAGAAATAACAAATTAACATCATTTCACCCACTACACTCTAGCATCAGAGTGTATATTCTCCAGACCATTCTCAGTACATTTCCTAAATTGCTGATGAGGAGAATTTAGTCAACAATCATGAGCTTCTCTAGTTGGAGATCATAATTTTCTTTATTCTCATGACCTTTATATGTGATTCAGTGATGATATTGTGGGGAGAAATTAGATGTTAGTCACTCTTAGGGTCAAAGGTCGACACTCAGCAGTGAAAGGTAATATTGTCAACCCTCTCTGGCAAGAAGTCTTGAAAAAGTATAATTCCACATTCTTCCTCAAAACAGTCCAGCAAAAGGCTTAAAACTTGTTTGAGTTCAAGTCAAATCCTGCTATGCAGCAAGCTAACATGATAATGTTTGTCTTTGATAGCCAGAGCTGATACCTAAATGGCTTCTATTGGCAATTTTCATTACTAAAAGTTGATTGAACAACATCAGACTTCATGGTATAATTTAGATGGAATACCACAAATATATGGCAGTTATATTGTAATATCTACAGGTATCATTAACTTTTACACTTTGTAAGAATCCCTTATATTCTCAACAGTAAATAAATATACACCTCTGAAGGTTGCACTCCCATCTTTGAGCAGACATGTGTATAAATATCTGGGTCAGGTTTACTGAGACCAATTTTACATGATTCAAACACCTCATCAAAGTAGTGAAGCAATTGTGGAAAAGGCAATGATCTGAAGTTCTTCACTAAGTCGTTGGTCCAATTATTTGTCAGGATACAAGTCTTGATACCTGAAAATATGAGCACCATAATTAGTCAGATAAAAGTACCTGTAATGTAATCAAAGTTATATGAATTCCTTTGTATATTGAAAGGCCAAGTTCCATAAGCCTAAATTCTCCTCATGAATGACAACAGATTTCTTTTTTAGCTGGTCCAGGGAATTTAATTCAACATTATTTGTTAATATCAATTGATTAGTTATTTATTTCAATCCTCACTACCTGTCTGATTGAGAGTGTGTTAAAATGCGAGAGGAATGTGCGTTATCTAACAAATCACTGCTACGAGTCAACTGTGCTAGGGAGTCTAACAATCCAGATCCAAAAAAAATTATCTTAATAGTTCAAGTAGGCCATTGCTACCTTTCTAAAAATCATTTTTACTAACCGTGCTTCCTCAGAGCTGTTGCAGCATTAAGCATTTCTGGAATTACTTTTGCTGATGAGGAGTACTCATCTATAATGTCTTGGAAGCTTATAGACTTGTAGAGATCACTCTCTTGTTTTGAAGCATACTCTGCATACATTGCATCCATTTCAGAGCAGAACTTTAAAAAAATAATAATAATAATAATAAAAAAAAAAAAAAAGCAAAACAAAAATTTTGAATGGTAAATTATATATTCATATCCTATGAAGGAACACTAGTTTAAGTGTTTAAGGAGAGGCAGAGGGGAGGGTGTATGTACAAAAAGTATTTTCTTTCCCATTCCATTCCCTCTCATTCCTCTTGTCTATCAGTTATCCCTTGGTAGACACTTATTTCTCACTTTGGCCTTCCTCTGCAGAAAACTCATGATGGCTGCAAAACTTTTCATACACTGAGTTCTACAGATAGAAATGATTATACACACCTGAGAAAGGGAAACTTGACCTGTTTCAAGTCTTTTTGCATTGTCAATGAAGCTTTTTATTATCACCTCTCTGAAATTAAATAAGAAAGTTCGTCAAAGAATATTAACTTTAAGAAACAGTCAAGTCCAGGACTTTCGAGGCAATATTATGAAAGAGAAACGACTATGCGGAGATTTGCTTTGATATTTTGTCTGTTTTTGTTTGTTTGTTGGTTTGTTTAAGACAACTTTCAAATCTAGAATGTACACAAAATTCCTAGCTACCTCTCAATTCCTTTTTCCCACGCATATTTCTGAAATGCAAAGATAGGACTTGTAATGATGACACCCCCGAGATCAAACATAACAAGCTTCACCATTTTTCAGCTGAGAGAATCCCCGTGACGTAATTTGCAAAACCTTACACTGTTCCTCACATTCATCTCAGCTGATGAGCCCAGCTGAAAGCTTTCATGAACCTAATTCATTTGTAGAGAAGATTAGCTGACTGCGGAATCAGGCCTCCTCGGGATCATAAATCTAAACCTCAATTTGATTGGATAAAAGAAATATAACCAATCAGCTACCCTTTGATATGTGTCATTGATAATACCCAAAATGGCGGAGGACAACCTTCCTGATGATTTCGATGTGATTGTACTTGGAACGGGTAGGATCTGTAGTAAAATAATGGTGTATAGATAAATTTTGACGGAAAAACAGTCTGAAAAGCTTTTGTTGTGTGTTACTGCAGTTATGGGGCCACTAAGGCGAAATTTCGATGAATTTTCTCGGAGATGGGGAAAGGGTGTGCTTATCAACTTTGACCTCGAATTCCACATTGTAGTGTTAGTGCATCAGAAAGCGTAATTCGTAGCCAGTCTTATTTTGTTTTACAAGGTTTCCCGGAGTCTGTGGTGGCAGCTTCTCTGTCAAGAGTGGGTCTGAAGGTTCTTCATTTAGACAGGTCAGTGACAGATACACAAACATGTTTTCTCGATCCCAATACAGAGTAAAATTTAGTGCTCAGTTGATGATCCACATGCGTCGGTAATTAAACGTAGGGTGAAATTTCCGCACAGCCCCATACTTCATTATGCATTCAGTTCTTGGATAGAGAAAACAATGACAAAAACAATACATTACCATTGGGAAAACAGATTTGTTTTACAATAGTATAGGGCAGTGCGGAAATTTTACAAAACGTAGTTTTGTTCCTATGGTTTAGCTGAAGAACATCATGAAGTACCAAAGAACTTGTGTCTTTGGGTTAGTTGTGTAATTATAAATCAAGAAATTGTTCAGAGCCAGATCCTGAAGTGTAGTCTTAGGGTTCATAATTTACTACTAGAATCATACTTTTCTGGGTTTCAGTAGTAAGGACCAACAAGCTTAATTGCTTCTCCTCGTAGATATGATGCTAATTTTTCACAGATTAACTTCCTCTTGGGGTTTTTCCCAAGTTTCTTGTCCACTTTGCTGCCTACTCTGTCATAGAGGGAGGTACTCTGAGAATAAAGTTTTCATGAACACAAAACAATTTCCTCATCAGGGTCCAAACAAGGACATGGGAACCAGGATTACACCAAATGTACATCATGCCACAAAATCTTCCATGTTACTAATAGCTTGGATAGAGGTTACATACAATTATAGTAAATGTAAAATTTGCTCATTATTTGATCTAGGAAATTGTTTTTTTCCAGGAATGATTATTATTCTGGACAGTGGGCCACATTTACCTTTGACAGTTTGTTAAAGTGGATTGAACTCAACCAGGTAATTAAAAGGATTCTAAAATATATATTCCTTTATGCAGTATGCCTAATTGATTTGGAAAGTGTTTGATATAGTGATGATGATGATATAAATTAATTTGCAAAAAAATGTTTTTGATTGTAGGGTGAAACTCATGGAGGTGCATCAGATGAATCTGGTGCCCACAACAAGGAAACACCAAGCTTGGAGTCTGGTACCTTCTCAGTCCCAGTTCCCAGCCACTCTAACACAGTGAGCAATATAGTGGTTAGATCTTATTTTAGGTGAGTAAGGTATATACTTGTTCTTTAGTGAGATATTTTATTAATTAATAAATTAAAATTATGGAGAAAAAATGAGTTCACAACTTAATGTAGTGCCAGTACTAAGCTTAAACTTTATCACATGAATATGGGGAAGGATCACCCAGAAAGAAGGATGTCACTTTTCAAACAGCTGTTTCACTCCTTGTTCCCTGGAAAAGAGAAATCTTCAGTTCAAGTTTGGCTCAAACACTATATTTGCCATGACATTTGATGATGATATTTTCTTATTGCCTTGCTTACACTGAACTCTTTAACAATCAAAAATGATCGAAATTACTACTTACAATGTTGATACACTACTCAGCAAACAGGTAATAAATCTAAAGAAGACAAATATATCATCCAATGGCTGTTATTTTGCTTAATTATTAAATTTTAAAATTAATGGTAGCCAGAAGGAAGAATTACTTAATAAATCTGATAATGGCAATCAGAAGGTTAAAGTAGCCTTTTTTGAGACTATTAACTGTGACTTTCTATTAATTTTGTGCTATGTTGCTTTAGTGAGAAAAAACAAGAGCAAGAGTTTGGTCTCTCTGGATCAAAGGAGGACTCAACACTTGAAACAGCAGCAAGCTTCAGTGAAGCTTGGAAATCTGTTGAGACCAAAGAGGTTAAACCAGTTCCATCTGGTGAAAATGACCCCTCAAAAGTAATTGCAGGTGCAGAAGGATCAGGAAATGAAGCTGAAGGTTCTGTAGATAGGCCATCAGATGATAGCCATGAGAAGTTGGATACATCTGACTTAAACAGTACTAGCAGTCCTACTCAGTTAGAAGAGAGTAATGAAACTCCACTCAGTGAAGAAAAAGTTTCTGATAAAGATTTTAAGGAGAATCATGATGAAGAGCTACCAACAGTAACAGATTCCAGAGATGGTCAAGAACTTTCCTCTTTGTCACAACCAAGGCATAGAAGTGAAAAGAAGCCTGCTATATGTCCTGACATGACATATGATGATCTGAAGCCATACTGGAGAAGATTCAACATTGACATATCTCCTAAACTTCTGTTCTCCAGAGGACCCTTAGTGGAGGCACTGATCTCGGCAAATATTAGTCATTATGCAGAGTTCAAAACTGTAACCAGAATATTGACATACATGGATGGACGAGTAGAAGAGGTACCATGTTCAAGAGCTGATGTATTCAGCAGCAATGCAATATCTGTGGTGGAGAAACGAATGCTCATGAAATTTCTGACTTTCTGCCTTGATTTCGAACAACAGCAAGAGCAGTATGAAGGACATGAAAACAAACCATATGTTGAATTCCTCCAGTCGCGCAGACTGACACCCAATTTGCAGCATTTCATAGTTCATGCCATAGCCATGGTCAAGCCTGAAACTGCAACAGTCATTGGACTTAAGGCTACGCAAAGCTTTTTACAATCACTTGGACGCTATGGAAACACCCCTTTTATTTGGCCCCTCTATGGTGCTGGTGAGTTACCACAGGCATTTTGCAGAATGTGTGCAGTGTTTGGTGGTTTATATTGCCTTCGAAGAAGTGCATCAGAAATAACAATCAGCCAGGAAAATGGCAAGTGTACAGGAGTAATTTCTGAGAATCAGCTCCTGAAGTGTAAATGGCTGATAATGGAGCATTCATATGTCCCAAACATTTACAAAAAGGAGTGCTGTCAGTTTGTTTCCAGAGGAGTTTTCATAACATCTAGTTCCTTGAAGATTTCAAAGGAGGAGTGCGTATCAGTTCTGTCTGTTCCACCATCATTAGAAGGAGAAGAACCAGTGAGAGTCATTCAATTAGGGTCAGCCTCTATGGCCAGCCCTAATGGCCTCTATGTGGTCCATTTAGTCAGTAAAGGTGTGACATCAGCTAAGGATGATTTGGAAGCAACAGCAAACAAGTTGTTTCATTTTCCTTCTGAAGGTCAGTTTTATCATTTCTGTTGAGCAGTGACATATGAATTCAGACCTGAAAGGAAAATTGGCCAAGTCCTCATTTGCAACCGGTAGTAATATTTTCCATCCTCAATTACCCTTGAATCTTAATTCTTTGACCTCTAAGAGTGACTAGCATCTAATTCCTCCTTAAAATATCACCCCTAAATGACACACTAAGGTCACAACAATAAAGGAAATGATCACCGACAAAAGAAGCTCTTGATTGATACACAAATTCTTCTTGTCACCGCCTTAGCAAATATATAGAGAACAGTATGGAGAATATACATAATGATGTTAGGGTGTAAAGGGCTGAAGGCTTAATCTCACCTCTTCATTGTTGGTTGACAGTACAGAACCATTGTAAAATTCCTTTTTATTTAAGGCAGTTACCTGTGATACGTTAAAATACACAAGATGAGACTCATTATTTTATTGAATTATTGTTCTTTGCTATTTGTCTCAAAGCAGGAAACCTTCACAGCGACAAGCCAACAGTTCTGTGGTCTTTGTATTTCAACCAATTTATTCCTGATTCCTCATGTGTTGTTGACTTGCCATCAAATGTACATGCTCTCTCGCTGCCTGGATTGAGCTTAGGATTTGGAGAGGCATTGCAGCAGGTACTGATAGCTTTCAGCTAAAGATATTGTCACTGCATTGTCTAAGGGATAGGTGAAACAATGTACAGAGAACGATCAACTGGGAAACTCTGAATTGGACAAAAATTTGTGAGAGGGAACATAGAGCTGAAAATATATAGGTAGGAGTTACTGGAACTATATCGAGGACATTTAAAAAGTTAGGATGTTTTTCTTTTTACAGGCTAAGGAAGTGTTCGAAAAAATCTGCCCTGATGAAGAATTCTTGCAGCCTGTTCCTAACCCAGAAGATATTATATTGGATGACTTTCTACAGGATCCAAATCACAACACCCCACAAACAGACTTGGCAAATCCTCAGAACGATGATATCATAGACGGTGGAGAGGGGAGAGCGTTACATGAGCAAGCTGAGGGTGGGGATGGTGGGGATGGTGTGGACAGCCAATCAGTAGAAGAGAAAAATGAGAGCGGAACTGGAGCGACTTCTTCTGAACCGCAGGAACATTTGGCAAATGAATGAAAGTAAATACATATGTTTTTGCAAAGGCTAAAAGAGACAGTGACATTCATGAGGCCACATGGGGCTAGCTATCGGCGTTCCACTCTCCTCCACTGACCCGAGCTGGCGTTTTCAAAATGGAAGCTCTCTCGAAAGTTTCTTTAGGAAAATTTTGTTTTCGGTGACCGAATGATCAAAATAAGTTGGACTATGAGGCAAACCGATAAAACTAGGCCCCAGATTTATCCGAATGGTTGTGGACAGTGCTCAAACAAAAGCGTAAAAGGAAACCTTAGAAATCTGGAGAGTAGGATCTTTTCGAAATCGACTAGCTCTGGAAACGAGGATGGTATTTTCTTATTATTATTTCATTAATGTGCCAACGTTCATATCTCTCTTCTTGTTTGGGAATCAAGCCATGAAATGGACTCAAGCAAGGAACATTTGACTTCAGTGCGACACATTTCCTACAAGATTGTAATTTTTGTCGTTCTAATGAAATAAAAACAGTTAAAACAACAACTAGTGAATAACCAGAAATTTGCAAAATCTATAGGGTAATTTTTATCGCATACCCTCTTTACTGGACTCTTTCTAAGATTAATGAATCCACTTTGCGGAATGTTTCAAAGTTTTGTTTTACGTTTCCGGTGTGTGCACGTGTCGGCGGAAGTGACCGAGACTGTCGGCGAAGTCACTATTATGTCGGCGCGTTGACCATTAGTGTCGGCGAAGTGACCGGGTACTTATAAATCTATTGGGAGTTATTATGCGGGCTAAAAAGAATACGAAACTGTTGGAACCTTTACACAGTTTCTTCATTAAATCTGTTATCTCAAGTTAATTGCAAGTTTCCTTTGTTTGATAATGAGACGTTTACTTTACTACAGCGCAAAATTTACATCCACTTGAATGACTATGGTTCCATAGTTTCACTGTCCTTGGCTTTTTTCATGCTTTTTGTGTTCATTTTAGTAAATGAGGAAACTCTGTAACGTAACCTCCCCGAGATTCCTAACTAAATAGGCCATAAAGCAAGTCGAAAACAAGTATGTTTTATTTTGGTCTGTTGCCCACATCACATGGTATCCACGTGAATTTCACGAGCCATCATAGGAAATCAGGGTTTTACTAGGAAAACAGCTCAAAATAGATAAACTTATTATAAATGGTAAAGGCAGTTCAACGAATAACCGATCCTCAGGCAATTTCTTATGTTTTCTTTCCTTCGAAAATAAGATCACGTATTAAAGTGGATGATGAAACCTTTAGCGTGGTTGGTTGCGACTGTAAACTCACTCTTTCATTCCTACGCATTTTGCTTGATATCACGCACAGGTGATCGTATGATGTATAAAAGCATGTGACTTGAGGTCAGCTGGCGTGCAAATGGAATGCAATACGTGTATTACATAACAAAAAGTTTTTGTAAACTTGGATCCAAAACAATTTTATGGGATAGCATCGTAGTAGAAAAAAACATGTCAGAATTAACAAACGTCAAACTTATCTGAGATTTTGATGAACAATGAATACTATTTTTCATAAAAGTTGATTTAATTTTAGTTGTTCGTTGTTTATTTTGATTGGTAAAGAATTTTTACAAACTCATATTTGTGGCATAAACATTCGTAGTGAGCCAAGTGCTCCACAAGTTGCGAAGAAGAAGAGCTTACACAACCAATCCTTATTTGGTAAGGATGGGGGTGTTGTCCTTACGTCATTCTATAGAACAACTTAAACGACGTACAATATTTTCTATCTTTCAAACTTTTTCAGTCGGTGATGCCGGTTACAAATTACTCTCCCTCCAATTGTAAAATCACCGCCGTTATCTTCCAGCTCTGTTTCTTAGTCATTTTATTTCAATCATGAGTCAAACAAAGAAACAGCACTCTGCCATGGTACATTTCGTCGCTGGTGGTTTAGGCGGCTCGTTTGGTGCCTTCGTAACATGTCCTCTCGAGGTGATTCAGACGAGACTTCAATCTTCTGCGTTTCGGCTTCAACGAACAGCAAATCTACGCGTTTCTCGCAATATTTCGTCCAGTGGCCAAGCCGCAAATTTAAGTACAGCTAGTGTGGCTAACTCGAAGCTTAATGTTGCGGCGAATCGCTTCAAAGGAGTATTTTCCTATGGAAGGTACATGGTTCAGCACGAAGGGTTCTTTTCGTTGTACAAAGGATTGGGGCCCACATTACTCGGTGTCACCCCATCAAGAGCAATTTATTTTGCCCTCTATTCCACAACAAAGGAGATACTGAACAAATCTGGCAAGCTAGTTGCCGATTCTTCACTTGTTTATATGACATCCGCGGCTATAGCTTCGTTTGTAAATCACACGGTTACAAATCCTTTGTGGTTCGTCAAAACGCGACTACAGTTGGACAACAGGGAAGCGCGGAGAGTAAATGCTTTCCATATAGTAAGAGATGCTTACAAGAGCGAAGGAATCAGAGCTTTTTACCGAGGACTTTCAGCTTCCTACGTAGGAATCTCAGAAACAGTAGTGCATTTTACGATCTACGAGAAAGTGAAAGCGAGATTGCTAAAGTTTCAACAGAAGACGCAAAGAGACCTGAATGTGATCGAGTGCATGCTGTCAGCCGGCGTTTCCAAATCCATCGCTGCAAGTCTTTGCTATCCTCATGAAGTTGCACGAACTCGGCTACGTCAACAAGAAAGTGATTTCCTCGGAAAACAAAAATACAATTCGTTTCTTCAAACGCTGAAAACAGTTGTGAAAGAGGAAGGATGGAGAGGTCTCTATGGAGGTTTAGGAACCCACTTAATTCGACAAGTTCCAAATACAGTGATAATGTTTTTCACTTACGAAGGAGTCGTGTACCTTTTGGAGTAGTTAATGCGTTCGCTTTAAATTGATCAGTAGTTCTTTATCAACAATAATCGTTGTTAAAACCAAATTGGTGCACCCAATTTGTGTAAGCTGATGTAGTATGATACTAGCGCGTAAGTAGATTAAATTTTTGTCAATTATCATCATTTAAAATTTCAAGTTCAAAGAAATTTCCTGGGGGGCTGCGTTTTTTTGTTTTTTTGTTTTTTTTCTGAACGACCTTGTTGAGTCCATTTGTAATGGAAATAGTGTCTTTATCCTCTCTTCAAACGCTTTAAACCTAGGAAGAGCTCTCGCAGGCAAGGTGATAAATATTTAAATAAATTAGATTGTTCTTTTAGTTCAGGAGTTGCTATGGGTTGCAACTGAAGTCTTGGGAATGATAATGATCAAAAGTAACCATTTGTTTATTCAAGATTACATAGCTCAGGTCAGTAAATGCCAAGAATGATATATCAAATAGGTAGATGTGTTCTAAATCTTAATTCTTGAAAAAAGACTCACTCAAAAAAATAAACTTGGTGAGAGTGTTCTTTCAGAAAGAGCATATGAAATAATTTTGTTTTCTCCTCTCAGGAAAGGTATCAGCAAAGCATTAATCATTTCGGTTTGCCCTTTTTTTTCATTCTTTTATTTTTCTTTTAAAAAAATGTGAAGTGAATGGTTTATTTGGAAAGATGCATGAATTAGCTTCTCACTTAATTACTGCGTAATCATGTATGTTTTCTTAGAAAACCCTATTCATCTGATTTTTCTCTTGACCTTTGCTAAGTGCAATTGATTCTTCCCAGATATACGCAAATGGTTCAGTGTAAATATTTATATTTCGTGTTGTGGTCTACATGAAATTATGTCTCATGTAAATATAAGGTCAAGGTAATGAGGTGTTTGGAAGAAGTTGCATTTTGATATTTTCTAAATAAATATCAATAAAATATTTTCTCAATAAATATTTTGTAGACAGGGTGGGTAGGTAATGTTGAGTACTGGTCAGGGGAGTGGGAAGGGTGAAAGAGTTGAACTGAACTATTATTGGCAGAAGAAACTATTTATACTGTTGTGGGTGAGAGTAGCCCTGGAAAGAGTTTTGCTTATTAATTACTGCTAAGAATTTATATTTCATGAGGACTTTTGTTATTAAAGTGAATAAATACCTTTCACAACTGCTTAGTTGATGAATATATTTCTAATGTATGGATTGGTTACAGACAAAAATATTTGGAAACCTCACAAAAGTGTTTTCTGAATCATGACTGTTATTACTGACTCCAGCAAGCTATGAAATAGCCAAAAACCATTTGTCCATTCCTCAGCTTGAAGTTCTTCCCAAGTTGTTTTCAAGTAAAGAATTCCTCTTATTATTTTTTCACAATCACTTATTACTGGCAAAGGGAATTATTTCTAGTCTTGCCTTCTATGGCTCTGGTTACATTCACATTCTTAAATGTAAACCAGTATTAATGATCTTTTCTTTATAGCCTTTTCCTTTCCTCACGTTCACTGCTCATCTGAGAACTGCAACTTAGTTTAAGGGAATCACAGTGTGCATGTCTACATTTCAACCTATTATTATAGTATACTAAGTGACAGCTGGGTGACACAGTCAACCTCGTATCCAGGTCCTTTTTCCGTTCGCCCCAGACGAAGGGGCTAGGGACGAGTTTGTGACACGGTTTGATCCTCCTCCCCTTGAAAAATCCGAGCCACACCCCTGCTTTTTGTGTTCATAGGCCTTAGTTATGATGTTACAGAGGACGTAAAATCCCAAAAAGGCTTGGTGACTTCTCTTTATTGATATCGGGGGTGCAAAATCAACCTCGTTCTCAAGGTCCCCTTTCCTTCTTCCTCGCGGAAGGAGGAGGAGGAGGAGGAGAGAGGACGATGTTGGGATGTAAAAACCCACTTGCAGACAATAACCGCTCAAACACCGTCACATGATCTGTACGAGGAAATTGAAACCAGGCAGCTAAGACCTTTTGTCTAAAAAATGTCGTTGGAAAACTTTCTTTAGAATGGAGGGGGTAAGTTTCTAGAGGAAATGTGGTGCTGCGTCGGTGGAAGAGTATAAAGGGGTAATCTGGTATTATCAACTGAAATGATAACTGAATTGGCCACCGTAGTTTCAAAGCCCTTCCTCAGAGCGAATAGCCCTTAGCGTTAGCCCTTCGTGCATTCGCTCTGACGAAGGGCTAACGCTTGAAACGTCAGCTTTAAAACCGTCTTTACGGTGGCCAACTTACGTTATCAACTGAGTTGACAATACTAAATTACCCAGTCTTTAGGATGAGTTTTGAGTTGCCAACGTTTCTGGTAATTGTGGGGTATATGTTGATCTTCATTCATTTCATACGTAAATAAATTATTCAAAACAGAGCCTATAATCCATCGTATCGTATTCTTAGTTTTACAGCTAAGTATCCTCTATGATTGTGCTTTTGAATTGTAGCGTTACGTGTATTATAGGCAATCTTTTATGAAGATATCGCCTCTCCTTAAGTCTCCTTCATAGGCGTTATTAGGGATGTCACTCAACCTACCCACAGAGTAAAAGAGCTTTCGCTCAATCAGCATCATAAGGGTCTTAAGGGTCAAACAAGCCTATGGCGTGTCTCCCTTTCCCCAGTCCTGCAGAGAGAAAAAATTCCTTGAGATGAGGAGACAAACTTCACTAAGAGGAGGGATTCCCACCCAAAGAAAAAAATGGAGAAAGGTAAAGAACGAGCAGATATATAAATATACATATTTATATACATACATATAGATTTTCTCAATCGTATCATCCTCCCCATTCCCGCTTACATGGTTCGCGAGAGAAATGGGGGGGGGGAAGGTGAACTGAATTTTGTAAAATCAAAATTAACTCTCACTGTAAGAAAGTATTATCAGACAACTTTCAAGACGTAATCGGCTTCAGTTATGGCCCAAATCTTTGTTGTAAACGACAAATAGGTCACTGAGCCGTAAGTGCGGTTAATTGGAGGCCGCCAATTACAAACTATGCATTTTCATACCCCCAGACCCCCCTAGAAAGCTCACGCCTACGGCGCTCGTGGTGCTCCCCCCCACCCCCCCTTTAAAAATCCGCCCCTTAAGAGCACTGTCATCAGTTTGGGAAACCCCCTTTTTTTGGAAAATAGTGAAGAAAATACCTATGAATTTATTCCCTTTTACTCGTTCTAACCGGAATAACCACACGGTACCATGCAAATGAATCATACCAGAAGCTCAGTCAATGTTCCTATATGAATTACGCGGTGCAGAATTTTGTCTGCGATAGAGAAAGGGGGCTTGAGTCGGGTCGCATAACGAAAGTTTCAATCTAGAACCCAATGTCATTTTGGCTCCTTGTTAACGGTATGGTCGCTAAATAATGAATGTCTGTTTGGCCAAGGTAGGTCATGTATGGGGAACTGTTATGGACATTACTTACGCTATTTGGCGACCATACCGCTGACAAGGAGCCAAAATGACCCTGGGCTCGAGATTGCGAAAGTTATTCCATTCGACCCAAGCCTCTCTCCAATCCATCTGTGTTTTGTTTTTGTCAATGTTTTTTGTATTTATATCTTTTTCTTTTTGAGTGTGCCCTTGTCTAAACACCGAGATTACTACCACGTCTTTAATAGTTCAGTTAAATCACCTACACCCTGATGAGCCGAGAAGGGTTCTGAAAACTTACCCACGAACAACAAGGAAGGTCACTTGAAGGGCTGAAGCTTGAAGAAAATAGCCCAGGAAACGTTATTTCAAAAAAGTCGGATGTATCGGCCTCAGAGAGTAAATGTTGAGTAAGAATAGGATAACGTAGAAGGATTCTACGACTTCTAGTGTGTCTGAATCAGGTCTTAGTATGACCTTAGTCGATGCCAGCACACCAAGATTTTCTGACGCAGAAAATTTCTTCACTCCTCTTTCAAACCGAACTTAACTGAAACGGCACAGATATGATCATGAGTTTGTGGGTAAAATCTGAGTTGCATATGTTATCTGCTGACAGAGGGGGTCGGTGTAATGGAAATCTTCGTGTCCAAACTCAGCCTCTAGGCTTTTATTTTACGACAGACTTAATTGTTTCTTCCCATTCTCAAACTCTCTTGAAATTGGTGACATTTTCCCCACACACCGCCCTGGGAATATAGTTACCTTCGACATACAACATATCTCAAAAAGGAAGCCTTTTCTAACTGGATATTTTTCCCTACTCTTGAATAGTAGCAATCTGTTTTGAAATAGTTTTTGCTCTATAGCGTAATGTATGTAGTTCGTTGCAAAAAACGTGACGCTTTACCTCAGCCGCGGGCAGAGATTAGGCAATTCCGAACTGAGCTTACAACTAAACAGATTGCTACAACAATGTCATTCTGCGGGATCCCTTCATCTTAGTAGTTCGGAAATCCGCAGAACTCTAGAACAAAATTTATCTTTAAATCGGAACTTTTAATCCCCAAGGTATCAACGGGCGCCATTCATTTAACTTATTTATCATTGTGTTTTCACGTTACCATGTTCCTACCAATGGCTTAGCTCTATTTCTTTGTACTTAAATCTCGCTGTGACGAAGGGCCAACACTCGAAACGTCATGTTAGCAACTCTTTTCGGTGGTCATTTGACATCATAAAATCCACTGATAAAACCAAATTAGATAAAGGTTTCGTTGCTGTGTGCCTACTTATGAAAAAAGTATTTTAATATTCTTGGCTACTTTGAGCCCGGAAAATAACGAAGGAAATTTGTTGCATGTCTTGCATGGCGTATACGTGTGTTGTAAAACCCGGGATATTGCGTGTATAAGTGAGTTAACGCATTTTAAATGCGTCATTGGTACAGTAGAACACATTCTTTATTGTCTTCGATTATTCAACGATACTGTACGTGACCCGAATATGGTACTCCCAACCCCTCCCCTCAGGAAAACCTGGAACAAATACTGCATGTTGTTTTAACCCAATCCCACCCTTCCTCCTCCCCAGCCCCACCTCTTTACACACCTCTTTACATGCGCCAGCTTGCTTTCCGCGCGTCTTATTTTTGTTCTCATTTCATGATTCTGCCGCTCATCTGGCTCTTTACTCCTGAACTTTAGCCTTCTATATCCACTCGTAGAAGTTGAATCATTTCCAAAATCGTAATTATTTGTCGCAAAAAGGGGAAAAAAGTGTTCATGTCTATTACACGTGTGGTAATTCACGAGTCAGCTCAGTCGCGCACTTAAAGCCCTCCCCCTAGGGAAAAAATTGTCACATGTTCACGTGAGAAGTGGACCTTGATGTAAGTTTGTGAATGTAGACCACGTGAAAGTGATTGAGTGACCAATCAAATTAAGTCAAGCAACCGTCTGCAGCCATGGCCATGTGATTCCTGCGGAGTTTGTAGTAAACAGAGTACAAGGTTCGTTATGTCATACTATTCAGGATTAGTTACCTAAATACTCGGGTGAGAAGAAAACGAATCTTTTTCACTGCGAGATTCATCCAGAGATGAGTAAAGGAAGATCCCCGTACGTCCATTTAGTGGCTGGAGGGTATGTTAGTTTGAAAAGAGATGTGTTTTCCTTTATTTGATCGTTTAAAATACACATGCCATAACATCCCGCCAACCGTTGTTTTGCTTGAACGAATCCGCAATTTTCTGCGAGTGAATTCGTGCCTCACAGAGTGTGCGATTTTCCATCTCTCCGTGAAAGTAAGCCATGTGTTATCGAGAAATGTAGTACTGTGAAGTAAGAGTCTAAGATTCCTTACGAAAATATGAGAAATTGGGAAACGTCTGCCTATGATTACACAAGCGCTTTTACAGTATTGTGTCTGATACAATGGAGCTTTTTTTTTAACGCATCCGTTAATGTTATATGTTTGATGTTAGTAGAAATCCACCTTAAATAACGCTTCCCCTTGATAAGTCCCCGTCACTTCATCGATCATGGGTGAATTTCCGAATGTAAACTCTATTTTAACCTGCTATGCTGTTGTTGAAGGGTGCGTTCCTACTAGTGGATACTACTTGTATACTACTTCTGAAAGTGCAAGAAAAAACAAGCTTAACTAATTTTGCTTTTTACTCTTTTCAGTATTGGAGGCACCGTCGGTGCTACATTGACGTGTCCTCTGGAGGTCGTAAAGACGAGATTGCAGGTACGATTATCCAAAACTATCAAAAACTCCTATAAGACATAAAATATATGTCAAAGCTTTTTTAACCAAGAGTCACATTCGCCTGTTTGCAATATTTATTTTGCAATTTGTTTATGAATTTTCCTGGCCTGCTTTCCATGCTATCTTCAATTCTTGCGAAAGCGCGCTATTGCGAATGGGACGAAATCGAGCTCACATTACCATTTGAAGTAATAACTTGTCTGGATATGATTGAAACTCTTTTGCAATCAAAGTTGTTAAGTTTGTTCTCAAGCAGACCTTCTCAAAGTAAAATTACTGGCTACCTTATTTACTTTGTGGGATTGCATTACTATCATGGGTGCGAGTCTAACTCGGATGACAGGCACGTTTTTTGGGACTGACCTGGTTTACGCATTTTAAGAATGACTTGAGTCGTGACTTGTTAAGAATCCTGTCCTATGTAGAGTCCTTTTCACTGGGCTGGTTTGGTTTTCAGAATGTTACCTTGCCACTTTTCCCTCTTTCAGAATTTCAATTTGTTACTGTGAGAAAAAAGGCAAGTGGGCCATTAGGCTGCAATAGGTCACATTTTTAACACCCAAGGCTGGTGTCAAAGCCCTGTCTGTGTGTTAGTTGGGGTAGCCAAGCTTTAGCTTCCATACATGAATAAATTTGGTTGACCTGAATATCAGCTCTGTGACTGTTCCGATGTAAATTATGCACAAAATATAATATCTCAAGTAGGCAGCCTTGATTTCTGGTCTGTTTATGCAATAGGTCACGTTTTTAACACCCAAGGCTGGTGTCAAAGCCCTGTCTGTGTGTTAGTTGGGGTAGCCAAGCTTTAACTTCCATACATGAATAAATTTGGTTGACCTGAATATCAGCTCTGTGACTGTTCTGATGTAAATTATACACAAAATATAATATCTTGAGTAGGCAGCCTTGATTTCTGGTCTGTTTAGAAGAGGCCTTGAGATTGCAGCTATAAAACTTAATAGAAACTTTTAATGACAAACTGTGTGCTACAAATGACGTGCTGTTACTAGTCTCATCATTGAGAACAGTCTTTCTTGTTCAGTCCTCAGTTCCAACTTTTAGACATGTTCTGTACCCATCAGCAACTGGTCCTGGTGGTATTTGGAGTATTCCAGTGGAGATCAGTTACTCAAGACCTGTTGGTATTCTGTCCTGTTTAAAACATATCACCCAAACAGAAGGTTTGGCAGCCCTGTTTAAGGGCCTTGGGCCTACATTAGTGGGAGTAGCTCCTTCTAGGGCATTGTACTTCACAGTGTATGCTAAAGCTAAACAAGTGCTCAACAGAAGCGGCTTTGTGTTTCCAGAAAGCAAACTTGTACATATTGGATCTGCTTGTTCGGCAGGTATGTTCTAACAAAATTTCGTAAAGTAGTATCTTGTTAGGCTTGGGTCTTTCCTCTCATGGCATGGAAAACTTTGTCAACTGAAGTATAAGGCTTCACAGTTGATAAATGCATTATCCATTGTGCAGCATTTGATTTTATCAAAAGTTTTATTCTATTTCTTTTTTGAAAATGCTGTTTGTACTTGCATTATACTAAGTGACTTAATCCTTTCTTTCTATACAGGGATTGTGACTTCAACTTTAACAAGTCCAATCTGGGTCATCAAGACAAGACTACAATTAGACAATAGGTAAAAAACTGAATTATATTCTCAAACAGGTCCCACTCATTGTAAGGGGAAATAAGGAGCATGCATGCTGTACGCAGTGATTTTGAAAATTATAATTCTTCCTTGGAATCTTACTAATAAAATAAAGAGCTGGAGCAGGTTGTTAAAAGCTGGTTTACGATAACCCAGGGTTGGTGTGAAATTTGATTTCAGATCTAAAAGAAAATTCATTAAAAGTCCGTTTGTGTACAATTTGATGATTGAATGCTCTAAAATGAATTAAGAAAAGTATCCCAAAACAGCTTCTAAACAGAGAAAAATAGAAACCTGGATTAAAATAAAACCCTGGGCCAGGTTGTTTGAAGCTGGGTTAAGATAACCCAGGGTTAGTGTAAAATCTGATTTCAGGTCTGAAAGCTTAAAAAAAATTCAGTTGAATTTCTTTTTGTTTAGAATATGACTATTTGATGCCCTAAAAAGAACACAGAAAATTAATCCAAAAGGACTTTTGAATAAAGGAATAAAGAAACCCAGATTACAATTTAACCTTGGGTCAGTGCTAATCAGTCTTCGATCAACTGAGTCCTGGGCTTTGTTGTAATTTGTTTGTTTCTATTTCAGGGCATCCAAGGGTCAAGTATTGAAACTTATCCAGAATATATGGAAGGCTGATGGAATAAAAGGTTTCTATAGAGGACTCACTGCAACTTATGTTGGTGTTACAGAAACTGTTATTCACTTTGTAATTTATGAACACATTAAAGCTGAAGTACAAAGACATCGTTTTAAATTGAGAGGCACTCATGACAAGAACATAGTGGACTTTTTGCAATTTATGATGGCTGCTGCAATGTCAAAATGCATTGCATCTGTTGTAGCATATCCACATGAAGTTATCAGAACTCGACTTCGACAGAAAGAAATAGATGGAAAAAGAAGATATCACTCATTCTTCCAGGCTTTCAGGAAAATACTGCGAGAGGAAGGAAGAGTAGGACTTTATGGTGGACTAGGAACTCACCTTCTTCGTCAAGTTCCAAACACTGCATTAATGTTTCTGACTTATGAGGCTGTCGTAAATTTTTTCTCTAAAGAAGATTCTTTATAAATGGTTATTTATTGTTTGATATTCTGGTTAAGTTAGGTTAATTTATTAATTCTAAGAGCACTCAGTAAAGAGGGGCAAAAAAATCAAGGAAAGTGTGGTTTGAAATTTTCTTGTAAACTGGGTAGCCAACAGTTAATGCCTATTCTTACTGCTGTTCTAAAACCTATGTAGTTATTATGTAGTTATTGTACAGAATACAGGTGGAATAATGAATCTGTACAATCTTGAGTGACTTGTTTACTATAATTTCGGCAAATGAATTTGATTGCACAAGTATTTTATGAGTTTCAAAGCAATCCATTTAACAAGTAGACTAAAAGTTTACTTTAAAAAATTGTAAATACTGATTTTATACATTTGTAAAGAAGAGACTACCTGAATATGTTTGTTTTACTGAAAATAATTTTATCTTTTCAAAGTCATATTTAAAATTGTAACTGTTGACAAATAAGAGCAAACAAACCTATGAATTAACTTAAATAAAGGTCAACCAACTTCAATGGAATCTCTCTTTTATTGCTTGTGGTAAGATAGTGACATGAATCTCTAGGTTAATCTCAAGCCATCCAATTTGTTTGGTGTTCAAGTGCCTGGCAAATGTCTTAATATCTTCTTTTTCTCACCAATGTTTACTCCAAATGGGGATTCTAAGCATAACTGTTTTTGAGATGTAAATGGCAAGGGCAAGTTTAAAGTTCTCCATTCTTGGTGCTTATTGCACTGGTTTTAGAACGTGAAAATGATGACCTCACATTAGATTTACAGGTGTCAAAGTGTACCAGGAGCAGTGTCCTAAGTCCTTTTATGACTGCAAAGGATACCAACTGTACCCCTGAATTCATTCGTGAAGTAATGGAGTTATTTCCCCATGGGAATTGAAAATAAAATCAGAATATTCCTAAACACAAGGTCCACCACACAAAGGCATGAAGACCAATTTGATACCAGAACTAGAAACTTATAGCTAAATGAAATGGTTATGTGGTCTTATTACACCCATTTTGAAATCACTGGTGGTCCCTGTAATCTGATTGGTTCTAATTGGTGCGATTTATTCACGAATTGCACCATTTTTTGCTTTAAATCGCATCTTTTTTCCAGTTGCAGAAGAGGCTACACTAAAAACAAAACAACCAATCAGACTTCAAGGCTTGTTTAAAGTAACCGATCAAATTGCAGGAAGATGAAAGACATGAAGGATCATGCAGCAAATTTTGCAACTTTTGTTTCCAAAACTCATTTTTTCCTCCCAAAAAATGGATGACTTTAATTCCAAACTGGCTCAGTATTGTAGTAATAAATATTTGAACTGACCAAGTCCTGTATTTGGGCGATTTCAAAATGGATGTAATAAAGTGGTAATTGAACCTCGTGTTGTGCAATTTTGGTCTGAAATTATACTTGTGATTTCAAATTGAACTCGCGCTGCGCGCTCGTTCAATTTTGAAATCATGCGTATGATTTCAGCCCAAATTGCACTCCACTCAGTTCAATTACCATTATATAGTGTGATCAATGGGATATCACAGTTATCTGGGCAATGGGTCTATTTTACTCCTACACAGTCTACTTGTCTGATATCTTACTTGGACAAAGAGGCACAGCGTTAAGGTGAAAGAAGTTAACTACATGCACAAGCCAATTATATTGAGACACTGTGCATCTGAGAAAACATGGGGCTCCCTCAGGCTTGTAAAAGGATGCTGGAATGATGTCACTTATCAGGCTTAATCCACACCATTTAAGATAGTTCTGACACTTCTTGAAAAGTTCAAGTCAAACCCCAACATTATACAGCAGAGTTAAACCATGAACTTGTATCAATAGGGTCTGAATGACAAACATTGAAAACATACAATATAAGTATAACTTTATTTAACAAACATGCCAAAAGCCTTCTGTTGCAGTTCTAGAAAAATTTGGAAGACAACATCTGCAACTATCTTGAATGACCCAAGTAAGACCTATCCCTAAATTTACAGCAGCCAACACCAAGAATATAGAATTGTGAACAAGCTTGTCATTTTTTTTGACAAAGTCATCTACTGTCTATCCACTTTGAGGCAAGCCCACACTAGGTTTCAACTCCCACGATAGGTTGAGTAAGAGAATGGACTGAGTAGAAGAGGAACATGATAATGCTGGGATGGGTCACTGACAAGAAACACGATCTGAAAAAGAATAGTAACAAATTGACAATATTACACCACCATAGGACAAACTTGAGCAGATCATTTATTTGCTGAGGTTATTGATGCCTGTGATTTGAAATTAAACTTTTACTAAATACTTGCTTTATTTTTAAAACACCCATAACAGACCAAACTGCACTCCACTCAGTTCAACTACCATAATGATTATGAAGCTGAATGCAAGTCATTGTCTCACAAGACACTGACATTCCTTGATATTTCAAGTAATTTTTCTGCATCAACTTAGGGAAGCAATTTGTCATGTTTGGTGGAAGAGCTTACGTACAACTAATAAGCAGAAATCTCTCTGCAGCACAACCAACTGAAACAGTATTTACTTCAGCAGACTCTCATTTTTTGGCAGTCATTTGCAGGTCATGTGGTGGGTTCTTGGCTAATGAATGGGGAGGAAAAATTACATCCAATAATAATAAGTATTTTTTAAATATGCAAACTTCCCCCCAAAAATCTTCCATTGGATTTTCCTCTACAATCAGCTCTCCCACATCTTGCGAAAACACCCTTGCAGTCTGACTTGGAATCAAGTTAAGACTTTAAACTTGAAGTACACTAGACCTTGTAACCTATCTCAGGTTGCTTTATGGGTTGTAACTATAGTACCTCTAGATAAAGGGAATAAGTATAGGTTGTGCAATGCCTTGAATCAGCGTTGATGTTAAATTTTTTAAATGACTATATTTGAAACTTTCATTACCTCTACATATGGATAGAAAAATGAAGAAACCCCAATGTCCTTGAAGTATGCCTCTGTCTCAAATCTGATCATGTATTTGCCAGGTATAAACTGTTCTTGATTTAGTAAGTTGGCTACTCTACCATCAGCATTAGTTACCCTAAAAGAAATGGACGAAATAAAATAAAACATCCCAAGTTAGTTTACTTGCAAAATGGAAGTTCAAAAGAAAAAAAAAATGGTTCATAACTATTTCACTCACTTTAGGTATGTACAGCTATATCTTGATGGGTCTAATCTTTGGTTGATGTCTAAGAGTGCATTTTAATTGATTGTTGTAAAACCCAATCTAATTTAATACTAATTACAAGGTTAACCAGAACAAAAGAAAATATTAAAAAGTGCAATTGAAAACTCAAAGCAAAAACAAGCAAGTGTGCAAAAAACAAGTAACCAAGTGCTGATTAGACTTTGAGTTGTGCATCTGATGGCTGTGAGGGCAATGCAAGTTTCTAAAACAAAATCAATTTAATATTAGTTTCAGCTCTAAATTGAACAACTGAACTAAGTCTGTCTTACCCTGAGGCAATATGTTTCCACATTCTACTGTCAGGACGCATTTCTTCAAAGTACAACTGAATTGGCAAGTTCTTAGCTGGTGAGCCTCTGGCTGTATCCAGCACGTGAGTGGTCAGAGGACTTCCAGTCATTGGACTACTATCACTGGTGGGATGCTGTCAGACACAGAAACAACCAGTCATCTACATATCACTTTCAAAATAGGTTGCAAGGAATTCAAATAAAAAGTATGTGTAGCTAAGTCAAGGCCAGATTGAAAAAAAAACAAAACAAAACAACTTTGGGAAGCTAACTAATTTGGTCTTACCAACATGTTTAAAAAGTACCCACCTTTTAAATGTTAATAATCACTTTAAATTGCAATATGATTTTGGGGGAAAGATGTTTTTTGTCTTGTCATGAGTATGTGACAAAGACATGGAGTCCCCATGAGGAATTCAATCTCAGACCTTTGGATTTCATGCTTTGATGCTCTACCACTGAGCCACAAAGACTCTATGGTGAATGAGGTCTTTTGTGAAGTTCATTACATGCATCCTACATACTGCTAGAATCATTAATGTCAATAGCATCATTTTATTTGCATTTATATGTTTGTGATTCTCACTTATGCTGTTAACATAAAAGTATATGTTTTAAAGTTCAGAATACAACTCAGAGACCCCCCTTTGTAAGGCTGTGGCTTAAGATATTACCCATTTGTAACCTTCCATACACTGGAGTAAGAGCCCAGTAATGGTTCGTATTACTGACAGAGGAAGAGTGTCTTTTGTAGCCACTTACCCCCGTGACTGACAATGTTGATGATGAGGCCATTGCTGGCACTGTTTGACAATAAACAACTCTTGAATTTGCAAGCCCTGAGTGGTTACTTCCAGCACGGGTTACTGATCCGTGAGATAAACTTAGAGAAGTCTTAAGTGATGGCTGGTGAGGATTGCGCAGGTTATTTTGGGAAGCTGCATGAAGCTGAGAAAATCTGTAAGCAACAAAAGGACTATGGAGACTTCTGTGACTGGATTGGTATGGAAGGCCAAGAACAGGTTCTGTTGGACTGGTTGGACTTCTATCTCTTTGCTTTTCACTATGATCAATCCCATTACTCTCCTGAGGAGAACTTCTGGTCTTGCCACTGTGGTGTTGAGGATGAGAGTGATTGCCTGGAACCATAATCTTTGTGAGTTGAGCCTGTTCTCTATTGGACTCTGCATTAAATGGTGGGGTTCCTACAGTGGTTCTTGGGGATGTTGTCCCCTCTGAACTTGAGATATACTTTCCAGTAACAGGCACCATGGTTGGGCGTTCATCACAAGGATCTCTTGGGAGAATATGTTGAAATCTCTGGGAGCTGGGTATGGATACTAAAGTAGTGATGAGAGGGTAGTCTTCAACCAAGCTGTCGAGAATTGCCACATAAGTACCTCTGATACAATTATTTGTGTAAATCCTGGATAACCGTGCAAGCTTGGACATATTTGTCATCATCTCCCCCAAGGAATTATGCCCAACTGCGGCATTTTCATACCAGATGGGGTCATCTTCGCAAGCATGATGTTTGAAGGATGCTTTGGGCCTTTGCCACAGGTACAAGTTCATCGGGTTCAGCTTCGACAAGTACTTCAGAAATGACGCCACCGGACATCTCGGATTTCCTGAAGAAGGGTGTAGTAAAAGCAATATTTCTGTTTCCTTCATTTTAAACTCAATATATCAACATACAAGAAGTATTCTCCTAACAAGCACCTCCAAGAGTTTTGCATAATATCAGAGACAATACATATATTCTAGGTCTCATAAGCTTATGCTTCATTGTGTAAAATTATCAGTTGCATGAAAATCAGATGAAAAAGCACTCTGCACTGTGAAGGCCCAAAACCTTGATCACCAACTCGTGATTATGGATGACAGATTAAAAAACTCCAATTACCAGACACAAATCATGCTCCCTCACATCACAGTGTACCACTATTGAACAGCTTTCAAGGGATATTTTTTAGAGGGGGGGAGGGTGGAGGGAAAAATCCACAGTACTTCGGTCACCGTTTACAAAACAACAAGGCTTTCTCTCTAATTCACCTAAACCCTTTTGCAAATTTGGTTTCTTCAAGCTTGTTTTGTATTTTATATTGTTACTACGTGTGTAGTAAATTTGAGTTTGAAGTGTTTTGAACTAGACTCAAAATCCTTTGAAAATATCAGACCATTCTTTTTGTCAGAACAAAACTTTCCTTATGCAACCTGACATAAATAGCTACAATTCCTTCCCTTTTTGCCTTTCACCAAATGGTGAAAAGCGTTTGGAGTCACAAAACTTTGACTAGTCAGGTATACCATTTTGGAGGTTAACTTTGTGCCACTTTCTCAGACGCAACCCAGTAAAATATAAAAGCTTACACAAACTTCACTTGGAGAGGCAAACGTCAATTAACGTGGAAAATTTCAATATAGATGTGTTTGAGAGAACTTGTTCTATCGGCAAGAAAAAACTTGTTTCAACGCCGAACTGCATTTAAACACTATTCGCATTAGAGATATTTGCTGGTGAAACTTCGCTTTTAAACAACAACCTTGTATGCTATTAGGAAATTGTTGGCCGTGCAAGGCCGTGCACTTTCTCTTCAAAATTTTTTTTACTGATATCGTTTTCAAGGTCCCACAACAAGATTTGCTTCGACCGACGAAAAGCTTTTATGAGGTTTTGAATACTCTCGCTTGTTTTCTGACAAAAAGCTTACCTGGTTTTTCATTCATTCGAGGACATTTTCCATCGGTAAAAACGTTTTCACAATGCGCCGGATTAGGATAAATATACTTCAAGCCAGTAGAAGAATCATAGCCCACGAGAAACGTGTCTCGGGTTTGTTCCCTGACGTTACTGCGATTCCGTTTTCCAGGCAAATACATCAGCAGGTCAAAGAACACTTTCCTTTGCAAGCCATCGGCGCTGAATGGCGACAAGACATCACTTAGATAAAGTTTCTTTAAGTCATCTGGGCCAATGTCGGAACGATTTACCTCGCCTTTACCTTGCTTTTTAAGCTTCTCCACCTGCGCTTTAAAAATTTTGTTTGATTCGGTAAATTCGGGGTCGTTTTTGATGTCTATATTGCTCTGTTGTGACTGTAAGTACCGCAGGATACCAAACCGTATACTTCCCAGAGCAGAGGACTTGTAGTAATCGCCGTTCTTTTTGCGGGCTTCAACGTAAAATTTACGCAAAAGATCATTCAACGCTGCCTTATCCAAGTTCTCGAAGTTCACATCCATACTTTTTTCCTCCATGTAGTCGCGGAGAATTTTCACAGCATTTTTTGTAGACCTCCATGTATTTTCACTGCAAGAGCGATGCTCCAACAACCTCTGAATGTCTTCCTCTGAACTTTCACCAAAACGCGGGAGCGAGTTTTCGTCTGTTGGACTTCCAACCGAGCTTTCTTCACTGTCACCGTTGTTTTCGGCGTTTTCCATAGGTTCTACTTTCACTTCGGGAAGGAGAACAACTGAGCTTGTTTCTTCGTCCATTATCGCGCGGAGATTGAAGTTGTCGCGTATTCGCGCTGGTAAGACTTCAACACGATTTGATGCCGGGCAATATATAGTGATGTCACACACTCACCAGAAAGCGTAGACACTTATGATGGTTATTTATAACGCACAAACCCCTATCCACCGCTATAACATGATTATCCACCAGAGAAAAAGATGCGGATGACTAAGGCAAACCTGAAACTGTTTTCCACCTTCATAACGGCAAAAACATTTTCCGATTCTTTGGCATGGTTTACTGTAAAGGTTTGGTAACAACTGGTCCAATATAACTTAATCTTCATTCTTCATTTGAAGAGACTTATTTCTGTGGTGCCGAAAAGCTTGCATCATATACCTGCTCTTTTTTAAAGGTCGAGTGCAAAGTCATCGATATTAGGCCCTTTCCGGAGAATATCTCCAGTATGGTTGACTTGTGATATCATCACTTGATGACCTCGAATAAAATTCGGTGTCAGTTCAAACGAAGACACGGGTCTAAAAAAACCTTTTCCCTGGCAGCCATCTTAACAGCTCTCTCTCACAACCAGACCATTATAACCAACGTTTTTAAAGACAATTACGAGGTAATTTTCCAAAAGATAACACTCAGTTAATATTGATTACTTTTCGTCATATCTATTATGACTCCAAGTTATATTACCACACAGAGAACTGTCGTATCATATCTTTATGTAATTAATCGAAAAATAGACAAGCGGCTATGAATACAGTATGTTGACATGTATAACAATTAACAATATGGTTGAACTTTTTGTAAGAAAAGATATTGGCCACGCAAAAAGTCAACGTCAGTTTTCACAATTTGGACAATATATTAAACGAGACGCTCGAACAAAAACTAAAATTAAATAAAAATATAGTTTTCAATAGCCCCCTTAAATGCCAGGCATACGTAAACAGTTAATTTCACGTCAAAACACGAAAGCTGTCAATCCTTAATATCTTTAAAGTTCAGTTTCCGCTTGATACGACATGACACTTTTGCCAGCCATTCGACAAATACGGCTTTTTAACGTTCGGACAAGGGGAGGTCAAATAATACTATTGTCCAAAAAGCAATTACGGGCTAATACAGCGACGATGCGTTTCAGAGAAATATTACTTTCCGAGTGCACAGGTCAAGATATTGCCTTTAGAAAATGCTGCTATTTATAATAAAAATACAACTATAAGAAAAAAGCTTGAAGCGTAACCGCATCAATAACGATTCCTCTTTCGATTCAACCGTACCAGTAGAATCAGTTCTGTATGTTTTAAATTTGCAAAGCACCGTGACAGTGTAGATTAATATATGGGCAGTTGTTTCGAAACATTTACTGATCGCTCCGAGTGGTTTGTGCACGCCCTCGAAAAACGTTTTAAAATGATGCCATAATGTAGGCGCCTACTTATTACAAACTAAATCCGATAAAAGCCAATACTGGAACAACGTTTTTAAATATCATTGCTTCATGCATAGAGTAAATTATTCACGCATTTACCATATCATTCGTATATTTTTACTCCCGGCTAAAAACAGAGCTCCACAATATTTCCACAGAGACTGAAGATCTAGACATTGTGAACTCAATCGAGTGGAAATTATCAGTATTAGTTAAAAAAATGCTTTTTGTGGTATCATGTAAGATTACGTGTAAACCTTTTGAAATACCGTCATCCTAAAGTTTGACGAGTATATCATGAGTTTAAATCGTACCTGATGACTCTCAACAAAGAGTGGAGAAAGTTTTTTTTTCTTTTACTACGGCAGAAGAAAAAAGTGTGGGTGTTTTAATTTCTCTCTTTTTTTTCTGTCACCGATTATTTTGATGTTCGTGTTTTGCAAATACTATAAATAGAATTTTACTAAATTAGATTGATTGATGTGGGCGATTTCATTTTCGTGGTTTTTAAGTAAAGCTTTCTAATGGGATCACATTGCACTCATAGTTACCTGGAATTGCAACAACCGAGAACAACTCTTCAGTTTGAAAGATAACCCTTAAAAAAATGAGGTTCTTAAAAAGTTTCTGTCGTGTCACTTCTAATATCATGTTCTAGTGAAATGTTTTTACAAAAACTGCAGTGTAATGCAATTCCTCGAGTTAACTTAATTATCCTCGAGTCCAGTTTACTTTCTAAAAACATAGATACTCTAGCAGTAATCTATGTTATCCCAACCGCAAGTATTTACGTCCCTCTAAATTGAACTAATCTATCGACATAAAAAAAAGATAACATCACCGCTTTTTACCAACAAGAGCCCAATATAGAAAAATGAAGAAATTATTCGGATGCTTACCAAATCGCCTTACGTTTTTGTTCCGCTATATATAGTTATTTCCTATTTCGCAGACTTGACTTTCGGAAACAAGCTTCTTCAACATTGAGTGACCTCAAACGCCCAATAAACAGGAAAAATTCTCGCATATTTTTACTGCACATGGACACAAATTGGTGAGAGCGCTGGGAGAGAAAAGTGTGTCTTGACGATTCAAATAATTCATAAAATAAAAGCATACTTGAAAAAAACAGTTCACGGCTGGTACGACAAAGCAATTCGTCTCGGTTACAACTTCGAGCATTTTAAAGCGAACTTTTTGTGCATTCCGTTCGGAAAATCAAACTGTGGCAATCTACTTTCACAGACAGATTTCCAACCACGCTTTCATAGGCTAAATTTATCAGAATTTTAGGTTCCACTTGGAAGCGCTACTCATATCTGCTTCTACAACACCAGTTGTGTTGCATAATCCGTCTAATGGAATATTCGAGATGGTTACGAAAGTCACGAACAACTTCTTCTTCTGACCTGATTGGAAGTTCTTTCCTCTACTTTTTGTACTTTCCTCAAAGATAGTAAAAAAGAATTTGGTGTTATACCAAAATGAAACCCTCTAACTGATAGTTTTGTCAATTCTAGTCATGTTTTTGCTGGATGTGTTGGTATTTAATGGAGAAGCTGCAAGTTTATCACCTTTTGCCTTTACTGTCTAAAGGAGAAAATTATAGCATCTTGAGCATTTCATTTAAGCTCTATAAATCAGAATAATGTGCCGAGGAAAATTGAGCAATTCGTGCTAAAAGAAAGCTGCAGTTTAGTTCAATATAAGGTTAGTTTCATTTGTAGCGCTGCAGCACGAGGGGTCTGCAGGGGTCTAGCACTAGTGCCAGACCCCTTGCAGACCTCTTACCGCACACCTTGCTTCCAAAAGTGAGTGCCTGCTCACAGTCTAATAGGCCATTTCCGAATAACCTTTGGCCTCTTTTTCAAAACGAGGCCTAGTGCTCAACCATTTGTATAAAAATGAGATTGATTTACATGTGAATGAAAACTTGTTATCACATGGGAGGATGAGCACCAGGCATCACATTGAAAGAGGCCATAGGTAATTTAGAAAAGAGCTATTCTTGACTATTCTTTATTTACATAAATTTCAGCTTTCTTTAAGCTGAAAATGCCCAAAGTTTCCTCTGGACATTTCATCCTGAAACAATCACTTTAGATCATTTGACTCAACTCACATCAACCCTCTCTGGGTGAACTGAGCAATAAACATTTACTTCATTTATTTGATATTCGTACACAAGGGCATAGGCACTTTCAGGTTTAAATCCAAATTGTGGATGAATAAAACTACTTTAAAATGCCTTTCACTGTATTCACTGGAAAAGCAGTTGCAAATCCTAGCTCCCTCAGCAGATAATTTGAATAGTTGGTCACATAATCTGAATGTGTGAGTGAGGAGAGTCGGGAAGATATTGACGTACTCAAGCAACTTCACTCAAGTGACTTGACTCTGATAATGACATCACATGACTCATTCCTGTTGTCAGAGTATCAGTTACTGTTTCTGATTAAAGTCCTACTCAGAGCTACTCTCACTTGCTTGATCAGACAACACAACTTACTGTCACTGATGACCTCAAAACCATTAACTGTGTGAAAAGAAATTACTCATTTTGGGGTAATTCTATTTCTCTTCTAATAAAAACTTTTTCTTGCTTAGTTGCAAGTCTACCAGAGAATTATAGTGACTCTTTTGCAACCACACTGTACTTTACAGAGAAACTGGATAATATCTAATTCAAATCCTACATTCATCTCAATGATAATCTAGTTGTGGTTAAGAAGGGAGCATATTTAGATTTGTTGCCCCTCAGAAAGGCATATCATACCTGGGATCTGGCTCACGGAAAAAAGAAACAGGTTTAACCCATTAACCCAATTGACATCATGGCATTATATCACTCAGTTATAGCATAAGATTAACTTACATTAACTTTAGCTCCACTCAATACTTAATCCTTTAACCCCTGAGACTGATAAGTATCTAATTTCTCCCAACAGTATCCCCCCTGAATCTTAAATAAAGGAAATGATTGTGAGGTCAAGATGCTCTTGATCATTAAGCAAACTCTCCTTGTGAGTACATTTGTATAATAGGAAATGTACAGAGAGAAGTGTGGAGAACTTGGAAACTGATGTTAGGGTGCAAAGTGTTAACAGACAGATTTACCTAAATATCTAAATGAAGTTGTGTGTGTGTCTTGAAAGGGTAGTGAAAATTGCCCATGATATAAGCTGGTGTTCAAGACAGAGAGATTGGCATGAAAATATAAAAGAAATGTATTTGTCCAGAATGGATAATGCTAACTGCCCATTAAACAGGCTTATATTCAAGACACTTGGGTTCTAATTTACAGCCATAAAATCATTTCCCTCTGTTTCTCAACCTTAAGTTTGAACGAGAGACAAGATTACACTTTGTAGATAAGGCACAATGCAGTGAAGTTATGGTGGATTTACCACTCTCTACAAGATATGGTACTACAGCACAACTGAAATTATCATATAATTTTAAGATTGGATGGACGCGAACATTCCCCTCGGCATACCTTGAGTGTTTTACTAATCCCTCAGAAGATAGGAATAAGATGTAAATGACAGTTTTTTAAGTAGGAACGAAGGGGTAAGTGACTCGAGTACATCACCTTTCAGATTTCAAATGAAACAAAAGGCTACATTTGAAAAGATATAATGGACAGCTGAACACTTTGTGTGGATTATCATGATTAAGCCTTTTTTTCGCTATTTCCACGAAACATTTGCGTAACAATGAGGAAAGTAAGAAGGAGACATTTTTAAATAGTCTGGACGTATGATGCAGAGGAGGGGAGGGGGAGCGGGGGCTTCCCTTGCACGGGCGAGTACGATCGCATGCACGGGACGACCCTGTTACAAAAGACCTCACCCAGCCGCTGATATTTTCCCCACAAAATCGTTTTCTCTTGCATTTTATTTTCACAAACCCCGTGTTAGGAATAGGTCATTGAAGCGTTTTCTACAATTGTGAGATATGTTGCTCATCTGATGCGTAAACTAACTGGTCTCTAGCGCATTAGTAACTTATGGCATACAGCGTAGTTGCATTTTAAAAGCCAAGTAGGAACAGTATGTAGTGCGCAGATCAACTAACCTTTTCTGGGCTTATGTGGTTCCGTATGCTATATAATCTTGCGTTACACTGCATAAGTGTCAATTGTCCGCCACCAAACCACAAGATATCCGATCAATTATCCAGGAAACAAAAAGTTGTTTACGTGTCCCGCCTACAAGCCGAGACCGAACTCCAAGCTCAGAGAGCCAGCGACTATTTGGGTCTGAGGTTTTCTCGCTAAATTTAAAATCCAAGATGGCGACATCGAATGCAATGAAATCGTGCGCTACAAAATTGACTAAAGCAGAAAAAAAGGCCCTAAGAAAGCAAACGAGACTAATTAATAGTCTTCGCAGAAATAATGCCGATCTTGCAACAGTTTCAGAATCGCCCACTCGTCATCTGATGGTTGGAAATGGAGGGTTCATGTGTGGCATAGACCGAAGGCAAATTTTCAGTTTGTTCCAGAAGTTTGGAAACATAGAACGGCTTCTAATGTTCCCTGGTAGATCCTTCTCGTTTATCACCTTTGAGCATGTCAGTGAATCAGTTAAGGCAATGGAAAAAGTGCACGGGCGAGTTTTAGACTGTCCTTCGGAGTTTCCGAGACCCGACGTTAGATTTTACTTGTCTTTTCTCACGAACGTACCCGATAATGTTTCCTTTGAAAAACAGGCCACACCATCAGGTCTTGTGTTAGTGGATGATTTTGTGACGGAGGTAGAAGAGGCGCAGTTAATTCAAGCGTTAGGATGGAGAAGTGGAGGGAGGGAGAACGAGATTCAAGGCACAGGTAGTTATGGTTTGATCAAGTTCACTAGCACCCTTTTATATTTCTGGGTGTAAGACGGCGCTGTGAGAATTTTTTTCGAAAGAAATGACTCTGACCCCGGTTAGAGCTCAAGTCCTTACCTTCTAATGAATAGTCCACTCTATCAGGCCACAGCTTACCAACCCTCACTGATGGGGAAGGATAAAAACATACATCATATAAAATATTCCTACATATGTGTAGCTTACCATCTCCACCTGTCCCTTTCTGTGCACCAAATTGGATGATAGCATCATAAGTTATGAAGAACTATCCCAGATTAGAAGCAAACTGTTTGTAATAAGATGTGATTGTTTAGTGCTTTTTCCATAGACATCTTTTGATGTTGATATGATTTACTTGTTCCCTTTTTGCTATTAGTGCTGTTTGTGAAGAGACTGGCTTTATTTGTTTAAGTAGAAGTTTATAATTCTGCATTCTGAATGAGTTATACTAACTGCACATTTTTTTTTGTGGGGACCAAATCAGTTGCAGATAGGATTGCCCTTATAGTCATAACCTTTCTTCTTCCTTCACAGCAAACCAACAACTTCGTCACAGAAGAGTCAAACATTTTGGGTATGAGTTCCTGTATGGATCAAGTAATGTCAACAAATCAAATCCTTTACCTGATGGAATTCCTAGTGTTTGTGATGAACTGTTGGATCGTGTTCAGGAGAAAGTTATGTGGAAACCAGATCAAATGACAGTTAATGAATACAAACCTGGCCATGGTATTCCACCTCACATTGACACTCACTCAGCTTTTGAGGATGGAATAGTTTCACTCAGCCTAGGATCACAGGTATTTGTTTGATAGCAGGTTTTCAATAAGATGGTTTGCAATAAGAGGCATGGCTCTTAATAGTTAATCTCTATGTTAATCATTTCTTTTTTCCAACCTTGTTTCCAGGCTGTCTCTTCTTCTTTGCCCCCAACCCCTCTCCCCGTAGGAATGAGGTTGTTGGTGGAGAAAGGATAGTGCAATAGTGTGAGTGCATGTCCTCTGACATTGTGGCCTGGGTTCTATTTCAAGGCCAAACATCACATGGGGGTAGTTTATTGTTTTTTTCCTATTCTTGCTGCAAGGATACTTGACATACTAATTCAACCTGGTCAGCACTTGATGAAGGGTTACCCTATTAGAGCTCCATGGCTAAATCCATTTGTTTGTTACATTTCATATTTGAATTTCTAAAATTTTGTGTACTCAAAATCCTGATTTGACTTGGAAGCATTGAATACAAAGCCACCCCATGAAAGTTTTTGGGCAAAAGTTTGGGGTATTTTATTTCAAATAATTTTTTTTCAGGTCACAATGGAATTTCGTCATCCGGATGGTAGACACGTATCAGTTGTTTTGCCGAGGAGGAGTTTACTTATAATGACCGGTGAAAGTAGATATCTTTGGAGTCATGGGTAAGATTTGGATGGATTACTTTTTAATCAGGGAAAGGAAAGAACCAGAAGTAATACAAAGTCGATTGCAACTGAGTTCGTGATTTCGCTATGTCTAATTCGCGTCAATCTTCGGTATTCTTAGCCATCCGCTGTCTTTTTGGCTAACTCTTGCCATTTCTATATTCTCTCTCTTACCAGACCAATACTTAGTGGTTTCCTTCACGCTGGCGCTAATTTTTCTCGCGTCGGTACACGACTCAAAGATGTAGCGTAGTTCTGTTACAGAAGGGGAAAATCAAGGAAGAACGTGCATATCTTTCATCTGAACTTCGAGTAAACCTAGATGAAATTGCCTTCCATATTTTAAAAACTTTGTGAAATAAAATAAAATTCTAATCTTAACCCGTTTTTCTTTTACTTCTCATCATATGTTCGTATCTTTTGCGAACTATATTTTCTTATCTTCAAATTGCAGTATAACGCCACGAAAATACGATATCATACATGATGTTAAAAGCACGTCAAACGAGGGGACTGGTTACGAAGAAAACCCCAAGAAACCTGAAACAAATAGCGCACAGGGCACCTCCAATATAACAGCCGAAGAGGGAATGACTCTGTTTGAAAGAGAAACAAGGATTTCGCTGACACTCCGCAAAGTCCGTCAAACTCCATGTAACTGCGCCTTCCCAGCTCAGTGTGATTCGCAAACTGGAAACAAGACTTCAGCTGCAATCCCGCCTTCGTCCGATGTTCCAACAACGATTGGAGAAGCGCAAAAGCTGGAAAAGCTGCACGTGCATGAAGTGTACGAGAAGATTGCGCCACATTTCAGTGGAACACGGCACAGCCCTTGGCCAAAAGTGGCTGAGTTTCTGCGAAATCAACCAGTTGGGAGTCTGGTAGCTGATGTAGGATGTGGAAACGGCAAATATCTCGGGATCAATGATAATCTATTCAAAACAGGTTCTGATAGAAGTTTCAACCTGGCTTCCATCTGCCGGGAGCGGGGATATTCTGTGATTGTGTGTGATATCTTGTCATTGCCATACAGGTAAAGAGAGTAGCCAAAGTATAATCATTAATGTTGCCACACGTAACCTGGGACTGCACTGGTTGTGAATCTGCGCGCCTTGTAATTGGCTTTTAAGAAACTTGCGTCACCAATCAAAAATGCAAAACCAAAACCGATCCTATAATAGTCACATGTGTTTTCGCGCGCTTTAGTTCTCATCACTTCTTGTGTTCTACAGTGATCTGATTGGCCAGTGTGTTTACTTTGAATTTGGTAAGACTAAGTATTCAAATGGTTGGAAAGGTGTTCACGTAGTGTTTGTCTCGTTACTTTTTGTCGTTGACAGAGATAAACTTGTCGTTAGCGAGGGAACAGGCCAAGGGATTTAAAAGTCGTAAAACTGAATTTCGTCGTTTTGCTTTCGTCTTTCAGGTCTGATGTGTTTGATGTAACTCTCTGCATCGCAGTTCTTCACCACCTCGCTACGGCCGAGCGACGTCTGGAAGGTCTGAAGGAACTGGTGCGAATAACACGTCCAGGGGGACTGGTGCTCGTTTACGTATGGGCTTTAGAACAGGAAGTGAAAAAGGTTAAAAAGAAACAGCTAAAGGAAGTGGAATTCAGAGAACGTAATGATCACCACACCGGACAGGAAGACGTAAGCAACAAAAACGAGACTTCGGAAAAGAGCAAAGCGGTCGGAAACTTCTCCGCAAATAACGAACCATTCCCAAATAAATCCGAACCTTTAGATGATAATTGTTCCACAAGATTGATGGTTAATGCTAGTCGGGAATCTTTTGAGCAACAAGATTTGTTTGTGCCGTGGAAATACAGCGGCTCTGGAAAACAACACGAGAAACAGGAAAAAGACACTGAAGAGTCAGGGGAAGGCACAGATGGTCACGTGTACCACAGATATTATCACGTGTTTCAAGATGGCGAGCTCCGAGAACTTTGTAGCCGCCTCAGTAAAGTGACAGTGGAGGAGCATTATTACGACAGAGGGAATTGGTGCGTGGTACTCAGGAAAAAGAAATAATGCCGGCATGGGAGTGGGTGGGGAGAATCTTAGCAACTGATTAACTTGATTATGTTACCATTTACCATACGCGAATAAACGACGTAAGTGAAAGAATGGCTCTATTCTGTAAATTAAATTTTCCTCTTGCAGTTCTGATGCTCATTCCGTACACACTGCACTCTTTCGTTCCCTCAGTGCCTTTAAACCATCAAATGGGCCCGTGAGAAAATTTAATAAAGAAAGGTGGAATTCTCGTCCTTGAAAGCTCAGAAGCAGCCATTGGGAAAGAAAAAGTTCTGATTTGAAGACTTTCCCTTTGTTTCCTCTTGTTTTGAATTGTTCTCACACTCACGATCGGCCCCCTGATGTACGACTATGCGGAATCGTCATACATCTAGCCCACAGACACAACAGAGGAAATGTCTTATTTATTATATTTTATTATACTTGTTTTATTTTACATGTAACATTTGTAAATTTACATACCATGCGCTTTGGCTGGCCTTCTCGTACAGTTACCTTTGATTTACTATGTTGTTCTTTGTTGGTTATGAACAGCCAGCGAAATTGTCCTTCTGTGTGTCCGATTAAAATGACGCCCCTCTCAGGGAATCCAGTTGAAATAGAAACAGCCCATGTCAAATGACATCAACACTAGAGAGCACGATTATTGATAACTGGCAAACTATAAACAACACAGGAATCCCTCATTCAGAGATTTTTTTACCATGCAACTGCACGTGACGTTTGAAGCCAGGCTGACGTCATAGCGTCGATAGCAGGAAAAACAAACCCGATTCACAGGTCAACGAAAAACACGAACGAAGTTCTTTGAACTAACTGAATTGAACCTTAAAGATCTTCCGTTAATTCTTCCTTTATTGCTTCATTGCTCTCATCTCCTCCGGGAGAAAAGCTTATCTGTTCTTCCTCTTCAATATCTTCCTCGTCCTCGTCATCTCCGTCACCGAACGGGAAATCATCCTCTTCGCTTTCGCTCTCACTGTGTTGAAGATCTAGTAGGATGCTTTCAAACTGCGACATTTCCTGCGAATCTTGCTCGCTTCCGAGCAGTTGTTGCGATCCGAAGCTTTCCTTCTTTGTGTAGCTTTGTGAGGTGCTTTCATCGTCGTCGTATCCCTCAATATCGACGTCTTCTTCCTCATCGAAATCAGCGTCAATTCGAGTTGCTAATGATAAAAAGAAGACCACAGATGGGTGATCAGTGGTTCCTGACCAAAGCTTTCTGCTTAGAAATTAAGGGGAATCGTTACAGTTATCGCGTTATTTTTGTTGATTTTGAAAGTGTTAGCGTTTCATTTAGCTCAGATTTTTTAACCAAGTAGGAGCAAATATTCGATAATTTTTAAGGATTTCCATCGAATATAACCTTCCAAATTGTGATGGGAAGGGAAGTGTGTACTTTTGAACAAAGAAAACACTTACAATTGGAAGGTGACGGAGGAAACTTAAATTTTGAAGAAAATAATGATATCGCTATCTCCCTTATTTTCTACTCCCTGCTTTATCCAACCCCATGTCCCCTTTTTAATCAAGGAACCCTCTTTAGAGCTCTCCCTGGAATGAAAACGGAAATCAGTATCTCTCCATACCACTGATAACGTAAATTGGCAGGGTAATTCAATATTATCAACTGAGTTGATAACGTAAATTGGCCACCGTAAAGAGTTTCAAAGGTGACGTTTCGAGCGTTAGCCCTTCGTCAGAGCGAATTGACGGTGGCTAATTTACGTTATCAACTCAGTAGATCATGCTAAGTTACCCTCTCCATACCACTGTTGTGTCCAGACAAATAAACAGAAATTTAACTAACATTGGTCTAGTGATGAAACAGGAGTAATAAGTTGTGCTCTGAAGTCGTTAAACTCCTCGCCAGTAGTGTCCAGTTCCTCTGATTCTATCATGTCCATCATGCTATCCTCTTCCTTTACTAAGCCTTCTGGGAAATCCTCCATGCTGTTCTCCGCTGACCACTCGGGTCCCGCTACCGAGGGCGGTTGGCTAGCGGCATATGATGAGGTGTCGTCGCCTGGAGTGAGTAAGATGTCATTCTCCCACTTGGACAATTGATCGTCATTCTGTGAGATAGCAAGGAACAGGAGTGAAAATGAAGAAAGGTGTCAAATTCATTTTTAAAAGATAAGGAAGAGAAAAAATAAAGATAGCACAGTGTAATCGACCGGGTGAGGGTAATCTCGGAGAGTAATGGAACTGATATTTGGACCATTGAGCAAAGTCCTCGACAACGTCACGTGAAGAGTTGTCTGCCAATGGAGGACTTCAAGACCTAACTCCAGACAGATTTTACGTAACACGTCGAGTCTATAGAAACTTAAGACAAATTAAACAAAAATTAACCACACATTTGTTCGCAAATAATTTTTCTGGCTAAATCAAACAATTCACGTAAGAAGGGCTCAGATTTTTTTGCGCCAAGCCTTGGAATATCTCTAGGGTAAAATAAATGGAAAACGAACTAATAATTTCTCGGCATAATATAACTGACTTGCTTACCTCTTTAAGGGCTTCATCACAAAACTGGACCAGTCTTTCGGCCATCTTTGAAAAGTCATGATGCTCTCCTGTCATAAAATTGCCAAATTTCAGCTGAAGTTACGCGTAGAGATGATCTCAATTACTTTTTATCACTTCCTATCTAGGACTATTCTCTCCCGAACGCTACACCGAAACAAGTTCTCGTGAGTGGCTATACATCCTACCGTTATAAACGACACTGTTCCTGTACATCATTCGCATGTGTTCCATAAACTCTTCTCTATTTTGATAGGCGTGTATCTGCACTTGCTGTGAATCAAGAGAGCTGGTTAGTCGTAGGAAGTTTTGCGAATCCTCATCAGCACTATGCCGCTGACTCAGTGTTAGAGCTAATCGCACCCAAGGTGACAATGTAAGTGATGAGAGATAAAGATTGTTGTTGTTGTTGTTTGTGGCTTAACTGGTTAACCCTTTACATCCTAACATCAGCGTGCATATTCTCCTTACTGTTCACTATACATTTACTAAGGTGCTGACAAGGAGAATTTGTTTAACAATCAAGAGCTTCTTTTGTTATAAATTAGATCATTTAGTTCTAAATTAGATCCTTTAGTTATAAATTAGATTCTCATGACCTCAATGTTTGAGGGGTCGATGGATTAACAAAGGCAACTAACTGATCTGCAGTATAGGCTAAGGAACAAACGGAAGGCGAGGAATATTATCAATAACGACGGAAAATTATGTGTTACCTGTTTAATTGTGAGAAGATCGATCGGTGTTTTAACCACTTCGTAGTAATCTGGCACCTGCTTAGCGCTGACAGGCTTTTGAAAAGGCAAACTCTGAGGAAAAAATATACGAAAGAGGTGAAGTCTTCCATTAGGCCTGGAGACTCAAAGCTAGTTTTAATTAATGGAAAATCTCATCGAGTCAGACCTTATGAAGATCTAGCTCTCCTATATTTATAAAATATAACTTACATCTGGTAATGTTTTCAACTGCACAAGGAGATTTTCCAGAATGAACGAAAAGGCAATCTGAGAAGTTGAATAAATACAAAGTTACGATGAACATCAGAAAGAAGTAAAACCAGATATTTCCAAGCGTACTTAATTACATCTGCTTCTTTTGAATTGTTACCTGCGGATCGTCACTAAGCATGGGATTTATTTCTTTCTCCAACTGAAGAATTTCCTCCTCTTTCTGAGAAAAAAAGTAATTAACACAAATATGTTGTTATCAATCCACATGCAACACAGAAATGCAGGAGTTCATAAACTTAATTAATTAATCACATCTTAAAATAATTCAATTTTCAGCAGAGCACCAAATCACCGCAACCCTGCACAGATGTCGTGGGTGTTACACTTACATCCACCAAAGACTTTCTACAAACTTCCAACATCCTCTCAGCTGCAGCAGTAAAATCGTGAGTAGGTCCTGATAGGGCAAGAAAAAAATTATTTAAATTCTGGAGCAAGCAAAAGTGCGAGTAGAGAATTACAGTCGAACCTGTAAACGATTATAACCCCCTTTTAAATAATGACATTATTTTTCGACTCACCATTATATAACACACTGTTTGCCTTGATTAAGGACACGTGCTCGAGAAAATCCTCCCTTGACAGATATTTACTCTTTCGGAGATTCTGACAATAAAAAATAAATAAGATATGACCAAAGGAAAAAGCTATAGAAGGAGGCTGGCAGTTTTTGGATGACAATCAAAGTTCTTGAAGAGATTTTCAAAATCACGCACCTCTCGCATGGTTTGTAGATCCATGGGATTTTTAACAACTTTGTGATAATCAGGAACAGTTTTTGCTGAAACAGGCTGATGAAAAGGCCACGTCTATGAGGTAAAAGAAGACAAGTTATAAGACCTTATAGAAGCATTCAAATTGACTTTTAAATAACGAAAAGTGTTCCGGCATGCTCTCAGTTTAGCGAAGACACATTGAGTGACAAAAGTAGTAATAATGTAATTCATCTCTAATAAGTTACTTGGAAGTTCCCCTTTTCCCCAAAACAATACTGCCTGAGATTGGAGAACAATTTGTTAACACTAGACAACGTTAAAATAGCGGAGAGGCAGAGGTAAATAAAGGTTATAGAAAAAATTTAAATAGGGAGTATAGAGTGCCAAGACTTTAGCCATTCTTTGTAGGTTTCCTTCGCTTAGAAGTACTTCTTGCCTGCCTGTACTTTGATCAGGTTTGTCTTTTTTTACAACATCAATTGTTGGTGTAAATGCTTTGGTTGAACTCACCGAAGGACAAATGAAACCGCGACTATTGATAATAATAACAATAATAATAATAATAATAATAATAATAATAATAATATTATTATTATTATTATTATTATTATTGATAAGAATAAGGACAAATAAGAATTGCAATAATAATCCAAATCCTGCATACACATCCCTGCCAAAAAAGGTCTTTCTGACATAATATACATGAAAAAATCATCATCATCGTTGTTTCTCTTGAGAAATCTTGAATGTAAAAAAGTGAACCGATAAAATGCTGAAAAACAAGTGACTTTTTTACAAACAAATCAA